AAAATCACCTCGACCACAATGACCTAAATCAAATACTTGGGAATTAACCTAACTTACTAGTCATTAATATACTTACCACTTTTTTGTGCAATCATTAGTAACATGACTAAATAGAATAAACCATATCATTAAAATGCACATATTACTTTGATATCTATATTAATACCAAGCCCTAGACATGTGCAATTCATTTTGTTCCGAATGTACATTTGAAAGAATTTCATTCAATTTGAATGCTCACGAATGTCCGAAGTTCGAATTGCCGTAGTGCTTTGGATTTCTGAAAAGTGTCAAAACAAGAGAGGTAGAGAAAATTCTGTGAATGATGACAGGAATCTTGACCAACAAGTTAATTCCTGGCAAGGAATTCCTGTGTAAGGGTTGTCGTGGCAAAGTGCTTTGGATTTCTGAAAAGCGGCAAAACAAGAGAGGGATGCTTATGAATGTCCAAATTTCCGAAGTCCCAAATTTCGGAAGTGCCAAACCGAACCGAATGCCATTGGTCCGAATTGCTGAAGCAGACAAATGTTTTTACTTACCCGAATTTCCAAACAAAATTTTTTGCCCGTGCACATCCCTACCAAGCCCTATCTATCCACCTTACCCACACTTTTTTCTTACATCTACTGTAGCGGAGAGCTGGTATTTCACAGGTTAACTCCACTAAAGAGCCCAGTGAGGCTCAGGAACAAGTAATAAAAATACCATAGAGTAATAATCCCAGCAAGCAAGGTAATCCACGAATATTCCCATTCAGATCCCAATGACTGGACGACACACAGCATCAGGAGCAGAACTGACTTTTAATTCACACAACCTCCTTATAAAGCATTCTCCCATGCAAGGGAGGGATTCACCATAATTAGGACAGTAACCAATAATGTCACAGTTACCTCCCACACATCTCCTCCCCTCAGTGTGACACATAATCCCATTAAACATGCTGTAGTTTTACCTGAGTTCTGGATGTACCCCAACACAGTTAGGTACAATGGGCTAAGTGGCCCCTGGTAGCCCTGATCTGGGTGACCAACATATCCAAAATTTACCCAGATCAGACCAGGGGTTCGGGAGTTAGGTGGAAGGGACAATTTGACTGACCGCACTTGAGGTGGTAGCAGAAAAGGGTTCCATGTGTTTTGGCCCTGCGGTCGGTCTCCGTCCAGGAGGTAAAATACACATAAATACATGACATCCACTATTAACCTTGTATTCGCATGAATCCCCTTGTTCGGTAGTTTTAACTCACCGAACGGGGACTGATTAGCCTCTCCTTTCGGAAGTTACGGAGCTCAGGAGGTCTCAGCGGTGTTCGGGTAATTGAGTGTCCGATTTGAGTTCCAGACACTCAACGCCCAAACACCGCTGAGGTTTTCATGCATAAGATGGCCGCCGCCACGTGTTCGTATGCCGAACGGCGGCCACCCAAATACATGCACAAAGTACCAATGAACCTGCGGTTAGAGAAGTGTGAAGCCTAATAAGGTGCACACTTCTCTCTGGGGTGGTCTACTGGTTCGGTAGTTTTCATTCGTATGGGATACGGATGAAACTACCGAACAATCGTACAAAACACTTTTAACTATACAGGAGAATAAACACACAAATTGCAGTTTTAACACAATCTTTTAGGACAGCCGTAATATCATCCGCTACACCTACGATGGGTGATCATTTTACATTCACTCAAGAGAAACCCAGATTACTATTTTCCTCTCTGACTATGCCAAGGTTGGGGATGGGGCCTCCTAGACTCCTATGATTACTCTTTAGTTTCAATACTTTGTGGACAGATGTGGACTCACAGAAATTAAGGATGAAACTGAAGAAGACATTTGTGTCTATCCCAATCTTATCTTGTCATTCCCTGGTCTACACGAAGTCTACATAAGCTCACTGATGGTCTCTCACTGATGATATCACCTCTATATCATCTTCACATATCCCTTGAAGACCTGTACCAATCCTCAAAAGTAAAGTTTACTCAAATTCCTAATGTCAATTGTGGCACATACTTAAAGATGGAAATCTAACCTTTATAGATGACCCCTTACCTTTTTCCTTTATAGACAAATTTACAATTTCCACTTATCTAAATTTTTAACCTCCCTTCAATTTAATAGGGTTAAGAACATGCATACAATGTTTAAACGACCACTATAGTGCAAGGAAACCATACTCATTTTCCTGGCACTATAGTGCCCTGAGGGTGCCCCTACCCTCAGGTTCCCCCTCCCGCCGGGCTCTGGGGAGAGGAAGGGGTTAAACACTTACCTTTCTCCAGTGCCGGACGGGGAAAATTTAAAAATACCTTATCTGAAAAAAAAAAGTTGTGAGAAATAAAACTTACGATGTGTTAAACAAAAATCCATCTTTACCCATGGGGTGCTTTATGCTGAATGAGTTTGCATAGCATGGTGTGCCCTTTCCCATGCTATGCAATTTCAGTCAGAGTACTCTGATTGGTTGACTTGTCAGGTGTCCCCCCACGTTGTTATTACTAGCACCCTGTAACAGAATGCCTATACCCAGAGTGATACCTCCACGTAACTCTCTACCAGGCAAGTAGTGTGTCATAGCTCTCACATACTCAAACATCAGTCGAGACTTGATGTCAGGAACCAAACCTTAATTTCGGTATTTCTTTCCTTTCATTCAAGTTTATACCTGCAGTATCTATGTTTTCCCACTAGTGGCCTCCCTACCCACTAGGTCAGAACTATTTCTCTCATCCTCATCTGCCTGGACTGATTACTGATGCTATAAGAGGCCACACTCTAGTAAAGGAAACTGCCTTTACATTGATTGAAGTTGTGGTTCTGGATGTGACATGACCTCTGATTCTGGCACATTCTGAGAAACCTGACCAACTCAAAATACCTTGAACCATTGTGATTTATTCAACCAACCCACTTGTTTCCAGACTGCTCTTTTCTAAGAAGTTAGGTAACAAATTATGATTTCCAATTCCAACCTGCTTTATTTCATATTGGACTTTATTCCTAAACTCTTAATTCTGTTCCTTCCTCCTACCTATAATTCTGCTTATAGGTTCTCCTTTTCCCTCCTAACCTAGAATTTTGTTTATAGGTTCTTTCTTCCTCCAAACCTATAATTCCGCTTATAGGTTTTCTTTCTTCCTCCTAACCTATAAGTCCGTTTATAGGTTCTGCTTCTATCTATTTCTTTATAACCTGTTATTTACCTATAATTTAGTTTATAGGTTCTGCTTATATCCATTTTTTTATATCCTGTTACTTACCTATAATTCCATTTAGAGGTTCTGCTTCTATCCATTTCTTTATATCTTGTTACTTACCTATAATTCAGTTTATAGGTTCTGCTTCTATCTACTTCTGTATAACCTATCTGGAGCTTATTATCTAAACCCTTTATTCTATAACCCTCATTATTACTTACCTGTAATCTTGTTTTATAAGTACTGCTTTATCCCTTTTGTCTTTATTTCCTTTAAGTCTTGCTTCACGTATTATTATTTCAAGTTTAAAACATGTCTAACAATTCCAGTAAAGAACCTAAACTTAACCCCGGTATAAGTCTCTTAACTGACCTGATCAGAACCATGACACTTGATGAAGGGTAAAACAACTGTTTTTATTGGGAAAACACACATGTTTATATACACAGACCCCCAGCATGGGGTCTCCATTCAATACAAGGTAAGCTTGCCCAAGCGCCTCTGTCTGGGAGATAATTGAGTCGGCTCTCGGTTAAACTAATCATCTCCCAGATACAGAGAGCACAACACAGAAAAAAACAGAAAACATGTACAAAACAGTATCGTACCCCACATGTCATACATTTTTATCAAGGTCTGATCCGAGCGCCCATTCTGTGCAAATAACACTCATATCCAAAAGTTTGTAGCCGACTGCTACAGCAGGTAACAGGAGCTCCAGCACCTTGAGGCAAGTGAGCTTCCTGAAGGTTATAGGGACCTATTGTCTGTCATGGGGAGTAGTAACTTCCCTCCAAGAAGTGCCTTTATAAGCCATTGGGAAGTAAAAGAAAAACTAGGGACAAAAGAGCCCGGACAACGTGCAGAATGTAGACGAGTCAGAGTTCCAGAGCATGTCTAGGTATCTACCGCTGATAGTGACTGGAGACTCTTGCTCTCTGTGAACATCTGGGCTGGGAAAAAATGCACTTGGTAAAACAAACACTTAGGGGAGTAGGACAAGCAAGGGGTGAGCTTAGTAGATCACACCCCTACCATGTGCTCAGGCCGGGGGGCATTAGGTAGCCCCAATGATCAATATTTTAGACCCACCAACCACCCCATGGGTGGTGGCAGGAAGGGACACTAGCCACAAATCACAGTCCCTGTCAGTTCATCCAAACTGGTTTTAACTAACTAAACCAAACGATTTCGCAATGCACAAGACTAATGCAAATACATGCTGGGCATAATTTTCTTGTAATTGAAACATATTACATGTTGAGTTTGCATATATCAGGCTACCAGAAAAGCTATTAGAAAATAACTTTCTCTAAATTGTGACATTTTCTCTTTTTATTCATCTCGTAGTATGAATAGTGGTTTAGACTGTATACGATTATACATACAGTATACAAATTATATATAAGTTTATATTAAGCACAATAATAGGAATTGGGGAAAATTAACAAGTGAGTTATTTCAGTATGAAAATGTTTTGCCAATGCTCCAGAATGGCATTTTCTATGAGATTAAATCTACAAAAAACACATTTTAATTGGCAGAAATACTCTAATTGTTAATCCATAATCCAATTACATGTAAAACAGTTAACACCTGCTTTAAACTTCGTCTCTTTGAGGGATGTCCAAGTGATAAAATTATGTCATATTAATCCAAGGTTCAGATATAATTCTAGTTGAAATTTAATAGAATGTCATATGTTCGCTCCCACAACTCTTAAAATTCAAGCTAAGAGCTCATTTATAGTTTGAGAATATTCATTTCCACTTAAAATTAAATCCTTTCACATTAGAGCAGCATGATTCTCGTTTGGATCCTGTCCTTTACTGCCCTTTTGGAGAATGTCTATGGTAAGGTCCAAGTTATGTATAATAGATATAATACATTTTTTAATGCTTATTATATTTAATGTTTCTTCCATTATATTTTCATAACTTTCAGGCTGCGGCGTTCCAGCCATTAATCCAGTTATTTCTGGATATGCCAGAATTGTGAATGGTGAGAATGCTGTTTCTGGGTCCTGGCCATGGCAGGTGTCCCTGCAGGTACAGAATATATACTGTTGCATATTTATACACATGCAAACTAACACACAGCATATTTAAAAAAAAATCATCCAATTACTAAACCTTTACAATCTATCCAAGTTTGACAAACAATCACAACAAATGAATGACACCTTGCACAAAAATCACGAGGACGTGATTTTTGATGACATTAAAAAATGTAATATATATGAGAATCCATTATTTTTGTATCTCTCTATAAATGTTTTTGATTAAAATAGATATATATATAATATATATATTATCTACCCTATTTTGCTTATTTATCACTGCTATAAGAAAAGGATGGGAGCCAGGGGGTAAAGGTGAGAACACAAAGGGGGGCTTTTAATAAATATGAAAAAAGACATCAATAAAAAAAAATACTCAATCAAGTGAAAACGTATATTCAAATTGAACATAAACAAAATAAAGAAATAAAATGGAAAATGGCTCAATGTATCACAATGTAGTTATACAGAAAGATTGCTGCAGGGTGCTGAAAGTCACCATTAACTAAGTAATGCTCTATACCAGTGAAATATATAATGATGATCACTCGTTTACACTCAAGAGCCTCTTTTGTTTCATTTAAAATTATTTTAACATTTGAAAATATTATAGTACTAAAGTGTTAGTTTAACTGTTCTGAAGAATAAAGCATGGATTTAAAATTCAGTGCAAAGAATTGCACACAACTATTAATAAACATATAGGGCTTGTTTGTAACCTTGGTTGTACAACTACAATAAATAGTTGTAATTCGATTTCAAATGGATTGCAGTTTGTCTGAATTGTGGGCAATCAGCAATTTTTCCAAAATCCCAAACTCCAAAGTGATATATGGATTAATCAAAAAACAAACTAAATGAGGAATGAACAATCCATTTAGTTTTTCATTCCATGAATCGAGTTCCATCCCTGGTGCCCCAAAAAACATGATTGATGGAAAAATGATGATTGCTGGTTAAGGGACAGCCCTGTCACTACTTTTTTGCTGTCAGAAAACAGTCACTAGTCACAGTATCAAAAGTAACGAGCAGTGTCTGGTTGCTAAAAGGTCAAGACAAGGTTGTAAACAAGTCCATAGTATGCTAAAGTATTAGGGAGTTGAGTGAGTTAAATAAATCAAATAAACTATAAGAGTAGTTACTAAGAGCTGAAACCTATATTCAATAGACTAAAAGAAATCAATAATACAATAAATAAATCCTAGTAAACCAACTATAAGTAATCAATATTTAATTCCTTGAATAAGGGTTCAAACAATGAAAGGTATCTGTGAAATCTACAGTAGAAAAGATCATGGATCTATAGTGCTCACTGTATAATAACTGCTTCATTAGCACAAGATTAAAGGATCACTATAGTGTCAGGAAAACAAACTTGTGGAAACCCCTTCAGCAGCTTACCTTAATCCAGCCCCGGGCTCCTTCGGCGCTGGTGACCTTTCCTCCCCCGCCAACGTCAGCTCCCGAGTGGAGTGGAATAAGCATGCACGGCAAGAGCCACGCGCATTCAAACAGTCCATAAGAAAGCATTTCTCAATGCTTTCCTATGGACGTTCTGCAGGTTGGATGCAAATTTTGCATCCAACGTCGCAGAAGCGCCTCTAACGGCTGTCAGGAAGACAGCCACTAAGGTAGGATTAACCCTGCCATGTAAACAGACCACTTCATTGACCACTTCATTGAGCTGAAGTTGTCTGTGTGACTATAATGTCCCTTTAAAACCACTTATATTGTCACACGTGATGGCCCATCAGAAGACAAAGCTTCCTGCAAAACACTGAAAAAATCATCCTCTGATCTTATGAAAAATGAGTGATTCTCTAGGGTGCCAGCATCGTTGAGTTTTACAGCCTACATCTCGATTTTCGTTAGATTGGAAGGTTATCATGTGTGGGTCACTCTGTGAAGCATGGCAGCTTGCATTCTATTGATGTCAACTGATGTGTACAGTTTTTTGCCTTATGTGTTTTGTGAATAGCTAGGTCCATTTCAGCAAAGCATTTAATGTCACTTGATATTTTTTATCCTCTTCTTTCTGTTTTCATGACTACATTTAACTTTATCGATAAATGCTGAATTTCACTACTAGCCTTTAATTGGAGTGCCTGGTGTGGCTTTTCTGATCTTGTTGTGATGCAATGCTAAGAAGATGGTCCTAAATGACTTTCACTAAACAAATAAGTGGTTTCTATAATTAACTTGACCTTAGAAGAAAGCTCAATACATTATTTCCAGCTATCAATTTCTTTAAATCAGTGTCAAGCATTTAATTTCAGCTGTTTCTGTAGTTGCTATTTTAGAAATTGGCCACCAGATGGTAGTATTGCCTCATCTTTAATACATGTATGTTTAGCTCAACACATCTGCTGTTATACTTTGATATTCGGTATGCCCTATATATTCAAATGAATATAGGGCTGACTAGACTCACTATGCAATGTTTTAGGTACAAATGAATATGTTAGTGTGGTACAGTATAGATAATGCATACATATGTTTTAAGCATTTAAAACTGAGATCCCTGCTATATGCAATATGATTCAAATACAATTAAAGGTATTAAAGAATTGCAATATAACTAGGACACACATTTATCCAAACACTTAACTGTTTTAAATGTTTAGTTTTAGTTATTATAACACATATATTGGACACTCATGCAATACATTTTTCATTATTTTGTTCTCTAATAAAAGTTGTCTTCTTGTTATCTTAATGTATCTATCTATCTATCTATCTATCTATCTATCTATCTATCTATCTATCTATCTATCCATCCTGTCTTTTTTTTTTTTGCAGGATTGTTAACCTTACAAATAAGAAAAAAGATGCAATTTAACACTATTTTATATTTACAAATATTCAAGAAGTTGTTTTGTGTTCCTGTAGGACAGAACCGGATTTCACTTTTGTGGCGGGTCTTTGATTAATTCCCTTTGGGTTGTCACGGCTGCTCACTGCGGAGTCACGTAAGTAAGATTGCTGCTTCTAGATTTAAGCAAAAATGCCATGATGTTACTTGAGGTTACTTAAAAAAAAAAAAAACAGTGTTTCAAGAATCAAATTTTCAAAATCAATTTCATCAGAATTCAGCTGATTCAGCAATTTGGAACAGTCAGAATTTTGGAATCAACAAAAAGCTATGTGAAAACCAACCGATTCAAAACATATTGATTTTGATCCATTTATTTTGATAAAGACAGCAAATTATGGAGTTCTTTAATAAACAACTGAAACAGCCATTTTTATATTTCAGCTGTTTAGTTTAGCTTCTTAATTTGTCATCCTTACATGGGATTACAATAATTAAGGATGCCCAATTAGGAATATATCTACTAAATAATTGAAAGAGAAAAAATAAGAAAATGGCTAAATAGTAGACAACTCCCTAAATTGGTAGCCTTATATAGGATTGCCATATTTAAGGATACTAAATTTGGGTGCTGTATATCAGCTCTCTTATTTGGTACCCTTAAATATGGCAATTCTATGAAAGAATAGCAAATTATGAAAATATCTGCTAAACACCTTAAAATTGAAATTAAGGAAAGGACTTTTCTTACTTTTGATCTTTCAGCGTTTGTGACTGCCTACATTAGTTATAGGCGAACCAATAACAAAATTCAGGGTGCCACAATTTGTCACACGTTTGTGACTGCCTTCCCTAATGCATTCCTCGTACGGAATAATAGGCACCCGAATTAACTGAATTTTTAAATTTTCTGACAGACAAACTGATATTTTTTTAATTTTGGACAAAACTAAATTTAAAAAATTTGCTATTTTTTTTTCTGCATTCACGTCACTCCTGACTTGGTCAGAGTAACCATTCCTATCCTGGTTCTTATTCCTAAAATAAATAAAATATAAGAAAAAAAGCTAACACTTTCCAAATTCTCCCTTAGACCGACCTTCCTCCACTAACATCACTCTTGATTGCACAAGGAGGATGTCAGAAAGTACAGGCTTAGGGGAGGAGAGTGGTGGTATGGAGAGTGGGTGCCATTAGCTGTCTGTCACCATCATGGTGTGCATTCTGACAATAGGCGTTATATTAGCAGAGAATTCACATTAGCGTGGATAATGACATCCCAATGATTCTGCCAGAGGTGGAGTTTTACCTCTGGCAGAAGAGGGTCTAAACTCTGTATGTGCAGCGTTTCGTACCAAAATGCTGCACATACAGACTCCAGGCACCATAACCTCTTTGAATCACTGAAATAGTCCTCCTGTAATGTTTCTCTGAGTTTGTTGGCGTATAGCTGCAGCAATTTATTCTAACTGCTACAGTTTAACCCCTTAAGGACACATGACATGTATGACATGTCATGATTCCCTTTTATTCCTGAAGTTTGGTCCTTAAGGGGTTAAGCAGTCGTCTGTAGGGACATGTGAAGAGCAGACCATCTAGCATAAGCTATGTAAGACACAATTATTGTTGTTCAAAATATTATTTTTCTAAACTGCTTGTGTTCATTGCCAAATTATTTGAAGGTTATTCACCGAAGCGAGAATTGCCAGAAATTCTAAGTGAATTCAAATTTGAAAAAAAACAAGGCCAAAATACCCAATTGGAAAAATTCTCCCAGTCAGTTATGCTTCCAGTTCGGCTAATTTGACTTAATATTTGAAATTCACTTTAAATTCCTCTCAATTCTCACATTAGTAAATAATCCAGTCAGTTTTCAGAGAGATTTGGAGAAAATTTTGAACACATGTTAAAAGAATACATATGTATCCCTATATTTTATTTCCATTTATACAATATCTTGTATAAAAAAAAAAAAAATCAAATTGCATTTGTTGATATTGTAGCTTTAGTGCAAGTAGTGCATTAATATATCACACTTAGAATGTATTGGACGTTTGTTATAATAAATGTAGCAAAATATGCATTTGTGGAGCAATTTCCCTGCTTCTTCCTCATACAGCTACTTAGATGTATATTCACTAAAATAATAAATCAAGTTTAATATTAGCAAACTATTATGCCAAACCTGGCAGATGATTACTATTATTATTACCCTGAACAATCACTAGAAAAATAGAAATTGCTTGTTTCACATATATAGAACTTCTCACCGTGTTGTTCTGGGAGAATATGATCGTTCATCTTCTGCTGAGGCAATCCAAACCAAATCAATTGCAAAGGTATGTTAGTATTTGTTATTTTAGTGGGAAAGTCACATCTTTAGTCCTTGCATTTCACTGTGCTGTTCATGTTAAAGGAAAACTCCAAGCACCTTAACCACTGCATTGGAAACCAGATGCTGTCACCACCTCCACTACATTTAGCAGAATGCTGGTGTTGAGGGCTTAGCTCATTGGCTGAGAATGGACGTTCCTAAGTAGGAGTTTCTCGTTCTTCTTTTTAACTGAGAAAAGGCCTAGCAGTCCCCAGGTAAGAAGTCAAAACGTTCTAAAATGTTTTGACACCATAATCACAACAGAGCACTGTAGTGCTTATGGTACATAGAGTGTTCCTTAATTAATGTGATTAATAAATATGAAGCCATTGCTATGAACTTTGTATTTCTAAATGCTCTTAAATGGTATTTATGCACTGTGATCTTGAAAAAGGCTTGAATTAGCCAAAACATCGATTGAAAAGCACAGGTGATCTGACATTTTTTTCACTGAAAATAAACACTAAATTTTGCAAGACCAGAGAGTGCAAACCCTCTAGAAATACTATCGTGCCACTAAGTTATTACGTATATTAGATTGGATGAGCTTTAAATGGAAACCCTGGGTAGAATTAGAACATAATTTTGTTTTAAAACCAACATATATAGCTCCACGGGTTGAAGAACCATCAAAGAAATGTGAGTATAAAGAACATCATACTGTTAAAAATATTTACATTTCTGGAGCAAATTAATTAAAAGTTGTAAATTAGTCAAATTTCCAGGAATTTTGTACCCTATAATGAAGAGTTTTTGTTTTTATTTTGTACACAAAAAGAAGAGTTTCCACAGGGCCAGGAATATAGATATATTTTCAGGAGTTTACTGGTGAAGAGTAAAATTCCATATTAATTTAACGATGGGAAAAATACTACTACTAGATATGTTGCAGATAAAGACAGGTTGGCTAATCTATTTACAACTATAACATTTTATTCTAGATTTTCAGAACATTTTTTAGTTACCATCGGACAGTTATAATTATTTAATTAGAATAATTATGAGTTATTGTGCCTTAGATCCATTAAGCGTGACCTAAGCCCAATATTTGAGTTCTCACCCCCCCCTTGCAGGCACGAGTTGCCACCACATGTATTTCTATTATGCTTTATTTTGTTCTCTTTAATCTGTTTTATATCATGTTATGAATGCTTGTCCAATAGGATTGATGATGTTTCACTATGTACACAAGCTACAATTGTTCACGTATTACTGCTTGGTGTCTATTCACCATTCTCAATTACTTTCCTTATGAGTTAGTAATTAATAAGCTTCTGCTTTTGTTATCTACTTCTAACCTCCCCACTTCCTACTTTCCCTATGGCCCACATTTTATTTTCATCTCCCTGTTCGATTGTTTTACTTGGTAACCTTGAAGATCTAATGTTTGATGTAATTCCATATGACTGAATGCACTAATACTTTGCAAATCACCACCTACAATGTCAAAGTTTGAATGACCCTAGTAAATGCATCTGTGTCTTACACAGGTACACAGGTTGCTTTCATTCAGGAGACTCACTTTCTGGATTTGGGCTGAGTTCAGCTCCAGAATCACTATTTCACACGAAGCGATCTTGTTTCTTCTCCTATCTCAAAGATAGGAAAGGTAGCACTGAATCTGTGCCACATTGATAACTCACTTTTTACATTTACCAATGTATTCTCCTCTAACTCCAACCAGACCTCTTTGCTTTTGTGAGTGCTTAAATTATAAAAACAATTCACCAAAGATATTCTGACCTAAACATTTAGACAGTTTAGAGTCTGGAATGGACACCTCTGCAAAGGTATCCAATATTCCAAATTCCAAACTTCACAAAGTGAGATTTATCCTATCCCTATTCCTAGTCAGTATTTGGGGAATTCATTACCCTAATGTTAAGGATTTTACATTATTCCTACCCTCATAAACAATACTCCTGCATTGATGATTTGTTCATGAGACATAGATAATCAGTCTCTGCCCCCTCTTTAAATATTGAGCCCCTTCTTTTGTCAATTCATGTTTGTATGTTTATAATATGCAGATATGGCTTTATCCGGATTTATGGAAGCTTGGGAAAAATAGCTCCAAATTGCCCTAATTTAAAACCAATTAATTCACAAATGGAGGATACCGCACTCACACTCAGGAATCCAGGTGCTTATCAGGGCCAGGGTTGGCAAATCCAGTTTAGTAGATAATATAAATTAGGTCTAGGCACTCAGGATTGATGCAGAAAGGCAGATTTATTGGAACACAAAAAGTGCAACATTTCGGCCTACACAGAGGCTTGATCCCCCTTCTCTCCCACTCACCCTCTCCCTGCAACCCTTTTTTCCCCCCTGTTATATAGGGGTATGTAAAATGAACAAAATTATAAACACAACACTTTTCTTTTTGCCCCCATTTTTCATGAGCTGAACTCAAAGATCTAAGACTTTTTCTGTGTACACAAAAGCCTATTTTTTTTTTACAAATATTCACAAATCTGTTTAAACCTGTGTTAGTGAGCACTTCTCCTTTGCCGAGATAATCCATCCACCTCACAGGTGTGGTATATCAAGATGCTGATTAGACAGCATGATTATTGCACAGGTGTGCCTTAGGCTGGCCACAATAAAACGCCACTCAGTTTTATCATACAGCACAATGCTACAGATGTCGCAAGTTTTAAGGAAGTGTGCAATTGGCATGCTGACTGCTGGAATGTCCACCACAGCTGTTGTCCTTGAATTGAATACAGTAAAACTGCACATTTTAGAGTGGCCTTTTATTGTAGCCAGCCTAAGGCACACCTGTGCAATAATCATGCTGTCTAATCAGCATCTTGATATGCCACACCTGTGAGGTGGATGAATTATATCGGCAAAGGAGAAGTGCTCACTAACACAGATTTCAGAGAAATAGGCCTTTTGTATACTCATGAAAAATGGGGGCAAAAACAAAAGTGTTGCATTTGTAATTTTGTTCAGTGTAAATACATATATGGACAGAGTGATTTTGATTGATATTGGTAATGCACTTGAAGGGAATAACTAAAAATAATTTACATTATTTATTAAATAAATTTCCATCTTTTCAAACAGCTGAACTAAACTAAACAACTAAACCAAACAAGAACTAAAGAATATTGAATGGGGAGTGGAATGCCCCATAGGCAGACACTTTATTAATTTTGTAGCCTGCCTCTGCACTTTTTCTAGTGCCATAATATCCTTCTTTACAACAGTTTCCTGAAGTAATCAAGGTGTGGTCTCAACCACTGATTTATAAAGATGATATTTTCATCCGGAGAATTATTGCTCCTTTTAATACAGGCCAATACCTTACTGGCCTTAGCAACTGCTAATTGACATTGCACATTGTTATCTAGTTTGTTGTCTATAAGAATTCCTAAATCCTTCTCATGTTGTGTTATCCATAATTCATGGCCTATTAGTGTGTAGGTTGCTTGTACATTCTTTACCCCAAAGTGGATAATTTTGCACATATCTACATAAAATTTAATCTGGTATTTGAGGGCCCAGTCCAACAATCTATGTAAAATCTGAAGTCAAGCAATATCCTGCTCACGTTGTATTACTTTACAGAGTTTTGTGTAATCTGCAAACATTGAAACATGATATGCAATGCCTATTTCAATATCATTTATAAATATATTAAACCAAAATGGACCCAGAAAAACACCACTTAGCATTTTTGTCCAGCTTGAAAACCTACCATTAATAACAACTATCTTTACTCTATTTTTAAGCCAATACTTTACCCAAGAATTTTCACATAGACCAATTTATTTTAGTTTGTATGCAAACCAACTGTGTAAAACCATGTCAAACAACTTGGCAAAAGCCACAAAATAGATCAAATGCTGGGTGCCTATTGAAATAACCAATAGTATAGACAGGACTCGATGGAAATACTATACTATTGGTTATTTTAATAGGCACCCAGCATTTTGTCAATTTTTAACCCCAGGTGGTGTTTTTTTCAGACAGTGATACGGTGGTTATGGTAGCTACTTTTGGTCTTGAATTTTAACTTAAGAAGGTTACTCTACCATTTATTGGTGTTTATCCATTGTACAGTTGCATATTTACAAAATAGATCAAGTCCACCCTAATCCAGTGGAGACTTGTTTTTATGTTAGGGGATAAATAATATAAGCCCCACGTATTCTCGCACATGTGTCCTGGGGTAATGAATCGAACAAAAATATCAATGTGTAAACAAGTGTGAGAATAAGTGGGGTTTATATTATTTATCTGTGTGTTCGTGCACATGTACGCACGAATACATAGGACTCTTTATTCGTTTCGGCTATATCTAAGCACATACTTGCCAGATTGCCTGGAGACATATGTGCTGAATTATTTCAGTTTCGTGTTATCTCTTGCGATATCGTATGAACGTTTAGTGCCGTCTGTGTATTACTATATAAACTGCTTTTGTTTATCCCTTTTTCTCGAATGCGCATGCGTTGTTATTATGCATTTTAAGACCAGGAAATGCTTCCTTGCGCTCCACTTACCCGGTAGTGATTCCATTGGCGTTTAAGATTAGCATCCTTTGTTTACTCTTGGCATTTCTTCTTTTATTTTTATTTGTTTTACTTTATTTTTCTTTATTTTTATTATTGCTCTCCTCCCTCCTTTGATACATAAGGATAAGGCATGCATTATTATATTTATTACATGTATGGATCCTGTTGTAATTTGCATGGTTTGTTTATACCACTTATGTTAATTAACTATATTAATATTGTTAATTGTTTTTTTAATTAAATAATTTGTTGACCTTGTACACACTGTTTGCTATATATTCACTGTTCTGTGGTGTTAGCTTGACAAATACCTCTTGTTAGGACGAAACGTTGCTGCCTTTTTTGTTTCAATAAAACTGCATGCGGCTTTAACATTCTGAGAGCCTGGATATATTTCTTCTATTAGAATACTAGAGATAGACCTAGAAGAAATTCTATTGGTATGGCACCTGTATGTAATAATCCTAACTCTGACACTTACTTTACCAGAACCTATGCAAGTAGGGGTGACTAGAATAAGTGAAGCAGAGAGACAATACAGAAGAACGGAAGACCTGTGTCTTTGTAGTGGACAAAGGGGTCAATTGCCTTAATTGCCCTAATAGGTTGGAAAACACCTAAGTCCACGAGGGGGACAGATCTAGGGTGATTTTTTTTTGTGTCCTCTACTAAAGCTCATAAGGAGCACCGACTTCTAGCTCACATTGTCTTAACTTGGGGCTATAAGAGGGTTAATACCTTGGCATTAATATATTCTGGCGCAGCTGCTAACTCTCTACCTTCTACATTGAAGCCATAGATGATTGACCTCTCCGGGTAGCCATGATCACGCAAGAATCCATTCCAGTTATCCTAATAGTAGGTGTGTTGCATAAGGAGGTCTGTGTATTCCAACAAATTACTTCTCTTGCCTTCCCAGTATTAGGATATCCCTGGCTAGAGAAACACAACCCATCTATCAACTGGGAATTGGGAGAAATTGTCTCTTCGGGTAAGAATTGTCTGGAGAATTGTATCACCAAAGTACTTCCCATATATCCCCTTGGTAAGAAAAAAGAGGAAGCACCTAGGAAAACCATTTAGAAGGTTAAACCCTTGGTGACCCCAAAAATAAGTTGAGTAAAACTTCACTTTTAATAAATTTGTTAAAATATTCTAGAGTATCTAATCATGAATAAAATTGGTATCCACGAAAATATAGGGAAAAAGGGAAACCCGGAGAGATAGAGTGGTCCTAAAGAGGACTTTAATCCATTAGTCTAGGTTCCAATTCCCTGTATGGCAAAATAAGTTAGATCTAAATCAATACAGTGATACACAAGATAAATAAAAATAAGAATAAATATGTATATCAAGTCTATGTACGATATATATATATATATATACATAGAACAAAAAAGCAACCAATTATACACATAGAAAAAGTTTGTTTTTAACCATGCAAAAGTAGTATGTAATCTAAATGTAACAAGATGTGAATGTTACTTTTGTGTCATATCATATTAGCCTGGAGGACAGCTGTATAGTGTGTCAGTTAGGAACAGAGCGGCAATTGTCTCCTGCAGTTAATAAAATTCCCTACTCTGTTGTGCCTTCAAGGGCACCTCTTAAAAAATTCTAAATGCCCTCCTCCCTCCTCTTATAGCAATACCAAGTCATCCTGGCAGACTAGTTGGGAGTCTACCTCGTGGGACTAGGTAAGTATAGTGGAAAGACACTCTGTCGATCGAAATGAAATTAAATAAACAATCAAAAAATAGGAAAAATGAAAAAAATATATTGGGTGAATAAAAAAGAAGAGTATAGCTGATAATATCAGGAAAGTCTCACTGATTGTCGTCCCATATCTATTAGACCAGCTTGATGCTCTATAAATGTCCCGACGCGCGTTTCGCCGTTTTCGCCATTGAGTCTGTTTGCTACTTACTATTTTAGTGGGAGTAATAAACTTGCATGCTTTATAATGTCCACATTTGTAAAGACCCTTTGTAGGTTGGAGCCAGGTAGTGGATACTCGTTGTGGTTCAAGATGACTATGAGTCAATAAGTCTCTTATATGGGGATATGTTGTGTTTTAGGGTACGTATCAGACTTTGTAAAAATATGTGTTTTTTTTCTGCCTGGAGATAATTAAGTTAATGCATTATCTCCCTTAATTATCTCCCAGTCAGAGGGGAGGGATTGTATGTGTGTTATGGAAGTTTCGTACAAGAGACGTATCTGTAATATTGTTAAGCAAGCAAAGCAGGAAGGGGAATTGGATGTACTTGTCCATATAGGGACAAATGACTTGGCTTGCAATGAGGTTTCAGAGGTTAAGGAAGTTTTTAGTGTTTTTGCCAATGATATACAGCAGGTTGCTTCCACACTGTCATTCTCTGAAGTTCTGCCTGTGCATAACACTCAGAACGACAGGCGGATGCGTATTAGGGACTTTAAATTGTGGCTTGGTGAATGGTGTCGGGAGCAAGGATTTGGCTTTATTTCTCATGGTAGCTCTGTTTGGAATGGAGATAAGCTGTACAAAAAAGATGGTTTGCATCTTTCTCAAAAGGGAACAAATGTTCTCAGTGAGCAGTTCAGAGGTTTTGCTAGGATGTATTTAAACTAGGAGGGGGGGGCAAAAGGGTGATAAAACATCAATCCAATTGTCCCCCAAAACAAGGACAGAAGGTGCCTGTAGCAAGTGTGTTAAAAAATGATAAGCTTAGAGTCATGTCTACAAATGCTCGCAGTTTAGGGAATAAGATCCATGAACTTGTGGCAATAATGGCAACTGATAGTGTAGATTTAGTCGCTGTTACTGAGACATGGTACAATGAGAAAAATGACTGGGACATAGCAATACCAGGGTACTCTTTATATAGGAAAGATAGGGAAGGCAAGAAAGGGGGAGGGTGGCCTTGTATGTGAAGGATAGCATAAAATCTAGCCTAATAAAAGTTAGTGAGGCAAACATAGAGTCTGTTTGGGCTACGTTAGAATTTGGTAATCACACAGTAACTCATGTAGGTGTGATTTATAGGCCCCCAGGACAAATTGAAGAGTTAGATAATCTACTAGTTGAGGAAATAGCTAAAATGACAATGAAGGGGGAAGTTATCATCATGGGTGACTTTAATCTTCCTGATGTAAATTGGAAAACAAAATTAGCTACTTGTGCCAGGAGCACACATATTCTAAACTCCCTACTGGGATTGTCTCTAAAACAAGTTGTTGAGGAGCCAACTCGTAAAGAGGCCATACTAGATTTAGTGTTAACAAATGGAGATTTGGTATCAGATATTACTGTAGGTGAAAGTACAGTGACTGAGTCACACTACACAAAAACTAAAGTTTTAGACTTTAGAAACACAGACTTTTCTAAAATTAGAATATGGGTAGAGGAGTCATTATCAGACTGGAGCAATTTAAATGGAGTCCAAGAGAAATGGGATTATTTAAAAGTTGCACTATTGAAGGCAACAGAAAATTGCATTAGGCTTGTCAGTAAAAGCAAAAAAATCAAGAAACCACTGTGGTACTCCGCAGATGTGGCCAAAATAGTTAAAAACAAAAAGTTAGCATTTAGGAATTATAAAAAAAACCCAGAGTGAGGAAGACAAAATGATCTATAAGATTAGGCAGAAAGAGGCTAAGCAAGTTATAAGAGCTTCCAAATCACACACAGAAGAGAAAATAGCACAGTCAGTAAAAAAGGGGGATAAAACATTTTTTAGATACATAAATGAGAAAAGAAAAGTAAAACAAGGATTAGTTAGATTAAAAACAAAAGAAGGAAGGTATGTAGAAGAGGATAAAGGTCAGGCTGACTGCCTCAATGAATATTTTTGTTCTGTATTTACAGAAGAAAATGAAGGAAAGGGACCTCAGTTGAGAAAAAGGATAAATGAGTCATTTATTACACGTGAGTTTACAGAGGAAGAGGTTCTATTTCAACTGTCAAAAGTAAAGACAAATAAGTCAATGGGACCTGATGGAATACACCCAAAGCTATTAAAAGAGCTTAGTGGTGTACTAGCAAAACCATTAACAGATTTATTTAACCAATCATTGTTAACAGGAGTAGTCCCAGAAGATTGGAAGTTAGCGAATGTTGTGCCCATTTACAAAAAAGGTAATAGGGAGGAGTCGGGCAACTATAGGCCAGTAAGCCTTACTTCAGTAGTGGGGAAAGTGATGGAAACCATGTTAAAGGATAGGATTGATGAACATCTAAAAACACATGGATTTCAAGATCAGAGACAACATGGGTTTACTTCAGGGAGATCATGCCAAACTAATCTTATTGATTTTTTTTGATTGGGTAACTAAAATTATAGATCAGGGTGGTGCAGTAGACATTGCTTACCTAGATTTCAGTAAGGCTTTTGACACTGTTGCACATAGAAGGCTTATCAATAAACTGCAATCTTTAAGTTTGGATTCCAATATTGTTGAATGGGTAAGGCAGTGGCTGAGTGACAGGCAACAGAGGGTTGTAGTTAATGGAATATATTTGAAGCTTGGACTTGTCACCAGTGGGGTACCTCAGGGATCTGTACTTGGACCCATTCTCTTTAATATTTTTATTAGTGATATTGCAGAAGGTCTTGATGGTAAGGTATGTCTTTTTGCTGATGATACTAAGATATGTAACAGGGTTGATGTTCCAGGAGGGATAAGCCAAATGGCAAATGATTTAGGTAAACTAGAAAAATGGTCAGAATTGTGGCAACTGACATTTAATGTGGATAAGTGCAAGATAATGCATCTTGGACGTAAAAACCCAAGGGCAGAGTACAGAATATTTGATAGAGTCCTAACCTCAACATATGAGGAAAGGGATTTAGGGGTGATTATTTCTGATGACTTAAAGGTAGGCAGACAATGTAATAGAGCAACAGGAAATGCTAGCAGAATGCTTGGTTGTATAGGGAGAGGTATTAGCAGTAGAAAGAGGGAAGTGCTCATGCCATTGTACAGAACACTGGTGAGACCTCACTTGGAGTATTGTACACAGTACTGGAGACCGTATCTTCAGAAGGATATTGATACCTTAGAGAGGGTTCAGAGAAGGGCTACTAAACTGGTTCATGGATTGCGGGATAAAACTTACCAGGAAAGGTTAAAGGATCTTAACATGTATAGCTTGGAGGAAAGACGAGACAGGGGGGATATGATAGAAACATTTAAATATATAAAGGGAATCAACACAGTAAAGGAGGAGACTATATTTAAAAGAAGAAAAACTACCACAACAAGAAGACATAGTCTTAAATTAGAGGGACAAAGGTTTAAAAATAATATCAGGAAGTATTACTTTACTGAGAGGGTAGTGGATGCATGGAATAGCCTTCCAGCTGAAGTGGTAGAGGTTAACACAGTAAAGGAGTTTAAGCATGCGTGGGATAGGCATAAGGCTATCCTAACTATAAGATAAGACTAGGGACTAATGAAAGTATTTAGAAAATTGGGCAGACTAGATGGGCCGAATGGTTCTTATCTGCCGTCACATTCTATGTTTCTATGTTTCTATGTAATTACTGTTCTTATTGGTTTATTCCCTTTGTGTCCCTGTGCCCAACAAAGTCCATATGGGTGTCACCCTTGTTGGGAAACTTGCATAAAAGGCCAGTGTGCCTCCATTAAAATTGAGTTCCTGCTTACCCTCAACATAGAGTCTCATCTCATGTGTGGGGGAAACGGCTGTATCTACCCTGGTGATTGCTCTATCACTATACTCCCCTTGGATTATAATCACTAGCTCTTTTAAGAGCTGTTCCTCCTATGCTCTCTGGGAGTAGGAGAGGTCTGCCCACTGGAAGCTGGATCCTTGTCCTGGGTCCACGGTGGGTGAAGGACGGCGAGAGCCCGGCACAGCTGCATCACTGGAAGTGGGTTCTGCAATGCTTATGGTATCTGGTGGATTGCTGGAATTCCTCGGTGAGCACTAGGAGCATCGATTGGTGGAGGCATTTGGTCAGCGTGCCAGGCGGTCCATCCCATTGACATATAGACCTGGGTCAAAAAACTCCAAGGCTGATGCGTTGTCCAGACAGTTCGAACCTCTTGCATGTCCTGAGACCAGTATGACTTTTATAGTTCCTCAGCAAAGTATTATTGCTAATACTAGAATAAATATAGAGTCTCCACTGGTTTAGTACATTTATTCCAAACAAAAGCTAGCTCCTAAGAATCTTCCTGAAAGAGATATTGTTTTTTTTCCATGATAGTAAGATCACAGGTCACATAGGTATACGCAAAACCTTCAATTTAATTTCAAAGGAATACTGAGGGTCGATTATGCGTAAATACATCACGGATTATGTTTCTGCTTGCTGCATATCTAACAGAACCAAACTGTCTCATACTCTCCCTTGTTACTGCAACCTATCGACATACCCATTAACCTTGGTCAAGCATTGCCATGGATTTCATAGTTGAATTGCCTATGTCTGAGAGAATGATGGTAATTCTAACAGTAGTGGACAGATTCACGAAAATGGCACACTTCATTCTGTTACCTAAGTTGCCTTTCTCTCTGGAATTGGCTAAAGTCTTTGCTAAAGAGGTATTCCGTATACATGGGATACCCCAAAAAATGATCTCTGACAGAGGTTCTCAATTTGTGTCCAAATTCTGGAGAGCATTTTGTTCACAGATGGGAATTTCACTTAAATTCTCGTCCGCTTATCACCCTCAAACTAACGGGGCAGCAAAAAAGTCTAATCAGAGAGTAGAATAATATTTACATTGTTTTGTCTCTAAAAAATACAAATGGTGAGAGCACTCAAATAGAACAAAAAATAATACAGTGATATTACCCAAACTGGATTATAATCTGAAAATAAAAACAGAGAGAGAGAAAAACATAGGGTAATAACGTAATAGGAAATTAAAAAGACTCTACTACTGGTCTCACTCACATAAAAAGAGCCACTTAGATAGCTGGCTCAAACTTGCATGCCTTGAATCAAAAACTCTTATTGGGCTTTCACTGGGTCCTTTCTGTAGTTGTATTCCATACACCACCAGGAAACGCAGGTTCAAGGGGTAATAGTAAAATTTATTTTCCAAACGTAAAAGGAATAAATAAAAAACTACACATACAAAAGAAAGTCCCTTAAGAAAACAGTCCAAAGAGCACCTGACGCGTTTCGGCAATAAGCCTTCATCCGAGTTGATTTCCGTGATCCAAAGCATGCTGTTTTATATCTCTGCTCCTCGCGCCCTTTTTCCGCCGCATTCGCGGCACTTTACTTCCGGGTTTGACGTCGGGACGCGTCCTGCGTCATCACGTCCCGACGTCTGACTTCACTTCCGGTTCGCCGCATATTAGGACGTATCGGGAACGTCATAGAGAAAACAAAGTGTCAAATGCACCCAAAATTCACTTAACAAAAAACAAGGAAAACAAAAAAAAAGGGGATATACAACCCCATCCACACAAAAATAATCATATAGTTTATTATAATAAATAATACATTTGGATAAATATAATTAAAAAAAATAATAAAAAAATAACCTAGGAACCTGGATAGCAAAAAATGAAGAATAAATAAATAATAAAAGAAAAAAATGTATAATAAAAAGGAAAAAATATATCAAAATGAATAATATCTAAAAATTGATAATATAATTAAATATAGAATAAAAGAACTACTATATATAAAAATGACAAGATATGATAAATTATATAAAATTAAAATGTTCATACATATTTATTAATCTCAAAATCAACATTAAGTCCTCGTGGTGTCATCGTGTCAAGTTCAAACATCCACTTCATCTCTGCTAGTCCCAAAATATACTCTTTATTTCCCCCTCTCCAATGGATTTTAATTTGGTCAATACCTATAAACTCTATACCTTTGGGATCCCCATTATGGACTTGTAAAAAGTGGCTAGAGACACTATGATTAATAAATTTTCGTTGGATATTATATATATGTTCTCTAATTCGGATTTTTAGACTATGTGTAGTTTTACCAATATATTGAAACCCGCATGGGCACGTTACCATATAGATCACATCTTTACTTGAACATGTTAAAAAAGACTTAATCTGGTATCCTCTTTTAGTAACAGAGGATACAAATTTTGTAATTTTCTTACTTTTATTTAGTCTAAAAGAGCAACCTCTACAGGTACCACAAAAATGGAACCCTTTGCTTCCCTTTAGAAAATTGCCATCTTTCTCAATTTTTTCTTTATCTAAAAAACTTTGAGTTAAGATTTGTTTAAAATTACTAGCCCCTCTAAAAATAAATCTAGGTTTAACATTTAAAAAAGGGAGTACATCAGGGTCTTCTTTAAGTACATTCCAATGTTTTTTAATGACTTTTTGTAATAAATAGTTATTAGTGCTAAAGTTAAAAATAAGGGGAATTTTTTCTCCATCCTCTTTACTATTTTTATCTTCCAAATTATCTTTATTCTTGTATTTTAAAAGTGATTGTCTCTCCTTCTCTCCAATTTCCTTCTCAATTTTATCCAGATTTTCTTTCTTATATCCTTTTTCGATAATTTTCCTCTTTAAAATCTCTGCTTGTTTAAAAAAATTCATGTTCCTCGGTACAGTTCCTTTTTAACCTTAGAAACTGGCCCTTGGGAATATTACTAAGCCAAGGCCTAAAGTGACAACTTTTTAAATCTATAAAACTGTTGACATCAACAGTTTAAAAAAAAGTCTTACTCTTAATAACACACTCATCTATATATATAAGAAGGTCTAAAAAATTTATTTGATCTTTACTAATTTCATAAGATAAATTTATATTATAAAAATTCTGATTAAGAGAAAGGATAAATTGTTCTAAAGACTTCCTATTCCCTTTCCATACAATAAAAATGTCATCAATATAAGGGTTTATATAGGACCAGATTTGCCCCGATGTCCTCCCTAGAGAAGATATACTTTTCTTCCCAAAAGGACATAAAAAGGTTCGCATAACTCGGGGCAAATCTGGTCCCCATGGCCGTACCGTACCAGATTTGCCCCGAGTTATGCGAACCTTTTTATGTCCTTTTGGGAAGAAAAGTATATCTTCTCTAGGGAGGACATCGGGGCAAATCTGGTCCTATATAAACGTTATATTGATGACATTTTTATTGTATGGAAAGGGAATAGGAAATCTTTAGAACAATTTATCCTTTCTCTTAATCAGAATTTTTATAATATAAATTTATCTTATGAAATTAGTAAAGATCAAATAAATTTTTTAGACCTTATATATATAGATGAGTGTGTTATTAAGAGTAAGACTTTTTTTTAAACTGTTGATGTCAACAGTTTTATAGATTTAAAAAGTTGTCACTTTAGGCCTTGGCTTAGTAATATTCCCAAGGGCCAGTTTCTAAGGTTAAAAAGGAACTGTACCGAGGAACATGAATTTTTTTAAACAAGCAGAGATTTTAAAGAGGAAAATTATCGAAAAAGGATATAAGAAAGAAAATCTGGATAAAATTGAGAAGGAAATTGGAGAGAAGGAGAGACAATCACTTTTAAAATACAAGAATAAAGATAATTTGGAAGATAAAAATAGTAAAGAGGATGGAGAAAAAATTCCCCTTATTTTTAACTTTAGCACTAATAACTATTTATTACAAAAAGTCATTAAAAAACATTGGAATGTACTTAAAGAAGACCCTGATGTACTCCCTTTTTTAAATGTTAAACCTAGATTTATTTTTAGAGGGGCTAGTAATTTTAAACAAATCTTAACTCAAAGTTTTTTAGATAAAGAAAAAATTGAGAAAGATGGCAATTTTCTAAAGGGAAGCAAAGGGTTCCATTTTTGTGGTACCTGTAGAGGTTGCTCTTTTAGACTAAATAAAAGTAAGAAAATTACAAAATTTGTATCCTCTGTTACTAAAAGAGGATACCAGATTAAGTCTTTTTTAACATGTTCAAGTAAAGATGTGATCTATATGGTAACGTGCCCATGCGGGTTTCAATATATTGGTAAAACTACACGTAGTCTAAAAATCCGAATTAGAGAACATATATATAATATCCAACGAAAATTTATTAATCATAGTGTCTCTAGTCACTTTTTACAAGTCCATAATGGGGATCCCAAAGGTATAGAGTTTATAGGTATTCACCAAATTAAAATCCATTGGAGAGGGGGAAATAAAGAGTATATTTTGGGACTAGCAGAGATAAAGTGGATGTTTGAACTTGACACGATGACACCACGAGGACTTAATGTTGATTTTGAGATTAATAAATATGTATGAACATTTTAATTTTATATAATTTATCATATCTTGTCATTTTTATATATAGTAGTTTTTTTATTCTATATTTAATTATATTATCAATTTTTAGATATTATTCATTTTGATATATTTTTTCCTTTTTATTATAAATTTTTTCTTTTATTATTTATTTATTCATTTTTTGCTATCCAGGTTCCTAGGTTATTTTTTTATTATTTTTTTTATTATATTTATCCAAATGTATTATTTATTATAATAAACTATATGATTATTTTTGTGTGGATGGGGTTGTATATCCCCTTTTTTTTTGTTTTCCTTGTTTTTTGTTAAGTGAATTTTGGGTGCATTTGGCTCTTTTGGACATGTAATGCCAGCGGCAGTATAATGGAAGGACACTTTGTTTTCTCTATGACGTTCCCGATACGTCCTAATATGCGGCGAACCGGAAGTGAAGTCAGACGTCGGGACGTGATGACGCAGGACGCGTCCCGACGTCAAACCCGGAAGTAAAGTGCCGCGAATGCGGCGGAAAAAGGGCGCGAGGAGCAGAGATATAAAACAGCATGCTTTGGATCACGGAAATCACCTCGGATGAAGGCTTATTGCCGAAACGCGTCAGGTGCTCTTTGGACTGTTTTCTTAAGGGACTTTCTTTTGTATGTGTAGTTTTTTATTTATTCCTTTTACGTTTGGAAAATAAATTTTACTATTACCCCTTGAACCTGCGTTTCCTGGTGGTGTATGGAATACAACTACAGAAAGGACCCAGTGAAAGCCCAATAAGAGTTTTTGATTCAAGGCATGCAAGTTTGAGCCAGCTATCTAAGTGGCTCTTTTTATGTGAGTGAGACCAGTAGTAGAGTCTTTTTAATTTCCTATTACGTTATTACCCTATGTTTTTCTCTCTATCTGTTTTTATTTTCAGATTATAATCCAGTTTGGGTAATATCACTGTATTATTTTTTGTTCTATTTGAGTGCTCTCACCATTTGTATTTTTTATTGTCACTTGTATTTATTTAGTGGTTTTGGTGGCTCCACTGAGGTGATTGTAGCACCATTTTTCTTGTTTAGGATCTATTCACCAGTACATTTTATTGTCATTTATTGTTTTGTCTCTGCTCACCAAGATGATTGGGTCGACTTGCTTCCTTGGGCTGAGTTTGCTCTAAATAATGTGATTTCTGATGTGACTCAACAAATCCCCTTCTTCTTAAACTATGGTTTTCACCCTGTGATCCTTCCATCTGCATTTCCTTCACGGGGATTGCCGATGGTTGATCAACATGTTGAGGACCTAAAGAAAGTCTGAAATCAAGTTCAACGATTGCTGGCTCATAACATGTCTCTTGATAAAAAGCTTGCAGATAGGAGTAGACTTGATGCCCCAGTATATACAGGTGATAAGGTCTGGTTGAGTACAAAACATATCCAAAAATAAGAATGTAGGCTGAACTTGATGGACGCAAGTCTCTTTTCAGCTATGTAACTATGTAACTATGTAACCTTAAAGTCCCATCTATGAAATTTGCACCGAGATTGATTGGTCCATATAAGGTGGTAAGACGGGTCAACCCTGTGGCGTATTGTATTGAATTGCCTCACTCCTTTCACATCTCCAATGTTTTCCACATAACCTTATTGAATCCCTTGATGTGTAGCCGGTTCACTAGTCCTGTGGTACCCCCTTCTCCGGTTCAGGTGGAGGACCAGGAGGAATACGAGGTTAGTGCTATTCTGGACTCACGGATTTCTAGGGGTTCTCTCCAATATTTGGTCCGTTCATTCCACTCTCGGTTTCCTAACCACCCTGGCTCTTCACCGCCCAGTGTTCGGTCCTCGAGTTGGTGGTACTGTCAGGTTACCTTATGTATCAGTCAGGAGCATGTCACAGGCTGGCATCTCATTGCACGGTACTGGGGACACTGCTACTAACTTTCAGCTTGTCCCTAGCAATTCTCACGCCAGCCGCAATAAACCCACCTTTTTTTATGACGCGGCTAATGAGCGCCGACGTCATGACGCTAAGAATGTCACAGCCCGTCAAGGTACCTACCTAAGCGAACACGGTATTTAACCCCTTAAGGACCAAACTTCTGGAATAAAAGGGAATCATGACACATCACACATGTCATGTGTCCTTAAGGGGTTAAAGAGAAACCAGGGAGAGACTCATTGCCCTGTTGTGGTTCTTGTTTGACCCAAGAGTGCATATTCCGTATTGGTATTCTTACTTTGGCTTAGTTTGACTATTCCTCCTTCTGTGTTCCTTTGACCTCGGTTATTGCATTATCGTTGATCCTGATTTCTGGTACCACTGACCTCGGCTCGCTATTTGACTATTCTTTGTTTGTGTAGTGTTAGTCCGGCCATCCTAAGGTCCAGTTGAATTTATGTACTTAAAAGAAATTGCAGGTTGGTTTTGCCCTCTTTGGCTAACACTTTTTCATTTTCTGGTTTAGCCCATATACTCGCTTTTTTGCATGTATTATTGGCTTCCTTATATCTTATTTTGGATGCTTCTGATTTGTCTGATTTAGCCCCTTAAGGACGCTGGACGAAAATTTTCCATCATTGCAGTCCTCCCCTTAAGAACACAGGATGGAAAATGTCCATCCATTACTAAAATTAACCCCAGATTGTGGCAATTGTGGGGTTAATGCTCCTGCAGTCAGCCTCTTTGACTGAGGCTGACTGCAGCAGGCAATCTCACTATTACAGCTCATGTTATTGCTTTCACACTTTCTGCAGTGAAACATGTTCTGCCTCCCTGCACTTCTGTATAGGTGCTGATCTGCTTCTCACTGCTGAAAAAGTGTGAGCTTAAAATAACAACCCACTTTACCTCTTTCTAATACAATGAGACCCCCTTCCCTGCCTTTTGATCAATGTCTGCAGTGATCAAAATACAGATCACAATATTTCACAGATTTTCTTTTAGATTTTCTTTTTACCCTCTGAGGTTTATTTTTATTATTTTTAAACCTTGGGAGCTAAAGTTAGTTAGTTACTTAATTACTTGTAATTTATTTATTTTTTAGGTAGGGTGTGTAGACGTTAGTGGGGAGTTGGGGGATTTACTGTTATGCTAGGCAGGGGCTAACAATCAGAAGACTTTTAAAAAGTGAAAAAAACAAGTTTCAAAAAAGGGAATAAAATGCTTACTACACTACACTTGGTAAAGACTAGCAAAAAAAATCCCATGCTAAAGTTTAAAATATGCCTTTTGAAATGGGGAGTCTTTTTTAAGAAATGGTATGCCTATATAGGGTTGTTGGAATAAGCAACCTGCTAAGAAAAACTCCATAGAGGGACATTGACCCAGCGTAAAAATTCAAAGTTTGAAAAAAAATTTAATGGCTGTGTTTCAAATGTACCCATTCAATGTTCACATATACTGAAAAAGGTACATACGAGGGTATTGTCCTACTTCAACAACATAGCTGAGCAACATATGACATATTATACAGCCATAGCACACATACATTTTGCAAAATATACATTGCAAACACACTGTGTGTTTTAAAAAGGCAGAAAAGATATACCTTTTGAAATACCTTGGGGTGTTTTCTTTAAGAAATGTTATGCCTTTGTGGGATAGTTAGAATAAATAATTTGCTAAAATACTTCAAAATAGAACACAGACCATCAAAAAAATCTCAAATTGTCACATCTTGTATACAGCACTGTACCTTCACAAAATCGTGTCTGTCATACATTGTTGACAGGCAAGGTACGTTGAGTATTGTTTAACTCCAAAGAGGTAGCTGAGCATAATTTTGGGAATTTTATGAGAGTGGCACATATCAGCAAAAATCATGTATGTAAACAATGAGATTTTTTTTCTCACCACAATTTTTTACATTTATTTTTTTTTAAATCAGATAGGTATTGTGTTGTGATCTATATGAAATCAATGTGTCATCATTTGTTCAGACACTGGGTTCATTTAGTCAATTTTTTATTATTTCATTGTGTTTCATTGCATTTTGGTCTATTTAAAATCCTATCTTTATTTTAACCTTTAATCAATGATTAATTGACAGGTGAACAAAAATGCATGACTAACAAACATATAGTGAGACATTGATCAAGTGCTAGTATACGTTAACTAAATATATATGGTTATATTACTAGCTTTACTAGTTTTATAGTTCTAGTTAGCGTTCATTCATTTTTCTCATTCAGACAAGTGAAACAACTTAGAATATAGAGTCAATATATATATAAACAAGGTATTATCTAGAGTATGGCAAACGGCTAAGTTTCTGTTAGAGAAGAGGATACAAACGTCAATTCATGCCCAAGGGTGCATTATATAATCTACAGCGATTATCAAGCGAGTCATTTGCAGAATTCATCTGGCTAAATTTCTGTATGTAATCAATGTTAAGAAATTTGAGTGATGTTCAATGTAGAAATTGTGTTCAAGTTAGACCATATAGCTTTGTGTAAATTAATCTTATCTGCATTTCTATAAAACCTTTTTTTCATTTTGCCCTGGTATTCTATCTTACCGGCTATTTCTGACCAGTTAGGTGCAATAGGTGCCTTCCAATTTTTTGCTATTATAAGCTTTATGGCCATAAACAAATGTATTAGGAATGCTTTTTGTTCAGAATTGCAGATGGGAAAATCTAGATGAAATAAGAATGTACTATGTTTTCTTTAATCTCTGATAGGCCTTTACACTCCCAACACATATAATACAATCTAAATAAATACACTATATACACACAAGCATGCAATAGTGAAAAAAGTGTGTAGCGCTCAGCAATTGTCACTTACTCCCCAATATTACTTTAGGGTTTGTAAGGTGCCTGGGTAGTCCTTGTTGCAATCCCAATAAGTTCCTCAAAGAAAACAGAGAATAAAACAGGGGGAAATCGCCCTGGTGTTGAAATCCTTATGATTAAAATGACAAATATAAACAGAAAGGTGAAGGTTGCTTCTCACCTGGAAAAGAGCCTGTAACTTGGCTCTGAGTATGACAGCTTATGAGTCTTGTTAAAGGGATGACTCTTGCCCTCTTTTAGCAGGATAGAAGATGTCCCAAGTGTATGTATTAAAATTGAATTTATTGCATAAACATTAAAAACATCAATAAAATTCATACATTACACTGGTATCTTGTCCAAAACGCGTTTCACCGACCTCTCTCGGCTTTCTCAATTGGTAACTACTATCCTACTCAATCCTGATTAAAATCCCCCCCTCCGAGAGAGGTCGGTGAAACGCGTTTTGGACAAGATACCAGTGTAATGTATGAATTTTATTGATGTTTTTAATGTTTATGCAATAAATTCAATTTTAATACATACACTTGGGACATCTTCTATCCTGCTAAAAGAGGGCAAGAGTCATCCCTTTAACAAGACTCATAAGCTGTCATACTCAGAGCCAAGTTACAGGCTCTTTTCCAGGTGAGAAGCAACCTTCACCTTTCTGTTTATATTTGTCATTTTAATCATAAGGATTTCAACACCAGGGCGATTTCCTCCTGTTTTATTCTCTGTTTTCTTTGATGAACTTATTGGGATTGCAACAAGGACTACCCAGGCACCTTACAAACCCTAAAGTAATATTGGGGAGTAAGTGACAATTGCTGAGCGCTACACACTTTTTTCACTATTGCATGCTTGTGTGTATATAGTGTATTTATTTAGATTGTACTGTAATAGGTTTCGAGAGTACCTATTTTTGTGTGAGAGCTGCTGCACTAAGAGCACTTTCTAATTTGTTTTAAGCGCCTTTGTGAACACAGATTACCGTGTGAATTTGTCACATATAATACAATGTTCCTTTGGAACTGGCACATCTCCAACATATATCCAAATAGTTGGTTTAACTTTCTTGATTCTATAGGGGTAAGATACCCTCTGTGAATAATTTTGAAAAAAGTTATGTGCAGACTAAGACTTTGAGTAATTTTTCTAACTTGTATAAAAGCCACCCCCCCATTCATCTATAGAGAAGGATTTGTTTAAATCTTCTACCCATTTATTTAATGATGCTGGTTTCTCAGTATCCATTAAACTTTTTTATAATTGAGTAGTTTTAGAAATAAGTTTAGTTTTTAATTGTTTATTAATGAGGTTTTTAAACTCTGAGTGCTCTTTACTCTCTTAAGACATTATCAAATGTTTAATTCTAATCTAATTGAATAACTCACATTCAGGTAGTTCAGATTGGATTTTTAAACTATCAAATGGTTTAAGTTTCCCTAATGGGGCAATTTGAGATAAATTGTGGATATTACATTGTCTCCATTTAGTTACATATATATCCTGTATATAGAATTGTAAGACTTCGATGGGAGTTGATTGAAGAAGTTTATAAGTAATTCCCAGTTTATTCTTAAATATTTTTAATGACGTTATTATGTGTCTCAAACTTATTTTCGAGGAAGTAAAAAATTTATAATACTTAAAATTAATCCAGACTAAATTAAATAATGACTTTTTTATGGCTAGCTTTCCAGTCATATTCTTCTGTTGTTTTCCATCCTGGATTTAGTGCTATCTGGCTGTCCCATAAAAGGAAGTGAGTAAACATCATAGTATCATGCATTTCTATTATATCTGGAAAATGTATTCCACATTTTCAAGCTTTTTTAGTTAAAATCTAAAATGCTATTCTAGGTATTTTGCCTTTCCAAATGATCTCCATAAATTGTTTCTTAACCCCTTAATGACGAGTGACGGACAAGGTCCGTCACTCAGGGGATTGCCATAATGACGAGTGACGGACCTCGTCCATCACCCGTTAAAATTAACCCCGGATCGCCGCTATCACGATGAACGCTGGGTTAATGGTGCTCCGGTCTGCCTCTGTATTAGCATGTCATTAGCATCAGCTTGTCAGAGCGAGCACATATGCTTAGTATACTTACCTTCCACCTCCCTGCACCTCCTGGTTCTGTGTGAAGGGCAGGGAGCCGGAACAGTGCTGATCCTGCCCCCTGTAAAAAAAAAAACAAAAAAAAAGTTTATTTAAAATCCCACCCCCCTTTACTCATTTTAATTAAAAATTAACCCCTTCCCTGCCAATTGATCACTGACTACAGTGATTAATTGGCAGGGACTACATTTTACTGTCATCTGATTTTTTTTTTTTTAACCCTCAGGGGTTAAATGTATTTAATTAATTTAAATATTTAAAAATTATATATTTAGGGGTATATGGTGTTAGGCTAACTAGGGGTTAACGTTAAAAGTTTTAAAAGAAACTTTAAAAAGTTAAAAATTAAGCTAAAAAAAGTTTTAATAACGTTTAAGTAAAAAAAAAAAAAAAAATACCCCCCTTTACCAAGTCCAATTAAGAAGTAACCCCTTCCCTGACAGTCGATCACTGCCTACAGTGATCAAAATACAGATCACAGTATTATACTGTGATCTAATTTGTTTTAACCCCTGAGGATTAACTTTTATTTATTTTTTAACCCTCAGGGGTTCAATTTATTTAAGTAATTAATTTAAATATGTTATAATTATATATTTTGCTAGCTGGGGTGGGTGGGAGTTATGGGAAAATGGGGAATTTACTGTTAGTGCTGCTTACTGCTAGTTAGGGGTTAACAGTAAAAAAAAAAAAAATAGTATGTGTTTGTGGGGAAGTTTCAATAACCAACCGTCTAAACTACTCCAAACTGGAACATGGACACAGCGTAAAACTTCAAAGTTAGAAAAAAAATGAATGGCTGCGTCTCAAATGCGCCCCTTCAACATCCACATATACCTGGCAAAGGTACATACGATGGTATTGCTGTACTCAGACGACATAGCTGAGCAACATATGAAGTATTATACAGTCGTAGCACACATAAGGTTTGCAAAATATACTGTGCAAACTCACTTTGTGTGTCAAAAAGGCAGAAAAAACACTTATTACCACTACACTTGGTACAAGCTAGCGGAAAAATGATCCCACGCTAAGGTTCAAAATTTGCTGTTTGAAATACCCTGGGATGTCTTCTTTAAGAAATGGTATGGCTTTATGGGGTATTTGGATTATATAGCCTGGTAAAATACTCTATAATGGGACATGGGCACAGCATAAAAATGTAAAGTTTGAAAAAAACTGAAATGGCTGTGTCCCAAATGTGCCCCTCCGATGTCCACATATACCTGGCAAAGGTACATACGGGGGTATTGCTGTACTCAGCCGACATAGCTGAGCAACATATGAAGTATTATACACTAGTAGCACACATAAGGTTTGCAAAATATACTGTGCAAACTCACTTTGTCTGTCAAAAAGTCAGTAAAAATACTTATTACCACTACAATTGGTACAAGCTAGCAGAAAAATGATCCCACGCTATATACCTTTTGAAATACCCTGGGGTGTCTACTTTAAGAAATGGTAGGCCTTTGTTGGGTAGTTTGAATTTAAACCCTGCTAAGATGCTTGGAAATTGCACATAGGCCCAGCGTCAAAATTCAAAGTTCGGCAAAAACTGATATGGCTTGGTCTCCTATATGGCACTATAGCTTCACGAAATAGTGCCAAAGACATTCATTGGGGGTGTCTTTTTACTCAGAAGACTTAGCCGGGCATAATGTGGGGGGTTTGAACTTAGTGGCACACAGGGGCGGGCTGGGCCGGGGGGCAGGGAGGCAGTTGCCCCCCAGGCAGCCCTAAATTCTTTTAAGACCGGCCACTGCAGGGCCAGCCCTTTAAATGCTGCAGCCGCCTGAGCACTCTTTTAAGAGCCTCAGGCGGCTGCACCTGCTTCTCTCCTCCCCTGCCCTCCCCTCCCCTGTAGCGCAGCCGAGCTCCTCTGCGGTCCGCTGTGCACTGAGTGTGCACCTTCACATCACTCCCGCCGGGCACCGCGGACCGGAGAGCAGCTCGGCGACGCTACAGGGGAGGGGAGGAGAGGTGAGGGGGAAGCATAAGTGAAGGAGGAGGGGAGAGCATAAGTGAAGGAGGAGGGGAGAGAGTAAGTGAAGGAGGGGGGAGAGTAAGTGAAGGAGGGGGGAGAGAGTAAATGAAGGGCGGAGAGTAAGTGAAGGAGGGGGAGAGAGTGAGAGGGGGGGGTAAGGGGGAGAGTAAGAAGGAGGAAGTGAAGGAGGGAGTAAGTGAAGGAGGGGGGAGAGTAAGTGAAGGAGGGATTAAGGGGGAGGGGAGAGAGTAAGTGAAGGAGGGGGAGGGAAGGAGAGTAGAGGTAAGGAGGAGGGAGAGTAAGTGAAGGAGGGGAGAATAAGTGGGGAGAGTAAGGAAGGAGGGGGGAGGGAAGGTAAGGGGGAGAGTGAAGGTAAGGAAGGAAGAGAGGTGAAGTAGAGTGGAAGGGGTAGAAGAGGTTGAGTGTGCTGAAGGGAAGAGAAAGTGAAGGAGGGGGATTAAGGAAGGGGAGAGTAAGTGAAGGAGGGGGGAGTAAGAAGAAGGGGGTATGAAAAACAGGGGGTAAGAAGAACAAGGGGGGGAGTGAGAAGAACAAGGTGGGAGTGAGAAGAACACAAGGAGGAGGGGGAGAGTAAGGGTGAGGAGAAGGGGAGATGAGGAGAAGGGGGGACTGAGAAGAACACAGGGAGGGTGGGTGGTGAGAAGAACATGGAGAGGGGGTAAGAAGAACACAGGGAGGGGGGAGGTGAGGAGAACACAGGGAGGGGGGAGGTGAGGAGAACACAGGGAGGGGGGAAGTGAGAAGAACACATGGAGGGTGGATGAGAAGAGCACAGGGAGGGTGTGTGAGTGTGAGAAGAGAACGCTAGGGGAGGGTGGGGGAGAGGAGAGACCACTAAGGGGCAGGGGAGAGCTCTAAGGGACAGAAGGGACAGCTCTATAGGACAGGGGACAAGACAGGGAGCTCTTTCACACTACGCACACACACACACACAATGCATCCCTATACATACACAGAAACACACAATGCTTCCCTTGCACACAAACACACAATGTATCCATTACATACACACAATGCAACCCTTACACAGAAAGACAATGCATCCTTTGCACACATACACAGAAACACACAATGCAAACCCTTACACACATATGCAAACACACACACTGCTTTTCTTACATACACACAGAAACACAATGCATCTTGTGGCGAAACCGACCTCGCCACTGGGCATTGGAGAAGACTGATTGCCAGCCTCCTGCCATGTGACTATGGCCCTTGGGATGTATTGCCCTTTAAAGACATGATTTGGGCATAAGGGATTTGTGTTGTGCTGCTGCTGGCCCTTTTAAGAACCATCTGGGGACATACTGTGGAGTTACTGGGTGGCCACCATTTCCTGTATCAGAAGCACATGGTGAGAACAATGGATGGCGGCCATTTTAACTCACAGACACTGTTTGGACTTTTCAACACGGTGCCATCTCGCCAGTATTTGTTGCACAGAGACATCGTGCGGTGGTTTTGGACTATACAGCAGGGGACACATTATACAGTGATTGTTTTTTATTTAGCCTGTATATGTTCTGCAGAATCTGCATTAAACTGTATTTTACAAAGTACTGAACGGATCTGGGTGAATTTTGGCTATGTGGTTCACCCAGATCCCCCAGTTTCAAGGATATACTTTTTATGGGGTTATTGCATGTTTTGGCGTCCCTGTGATGTGTTTTATGAAACTGTATTTCTCTGGCTGTGATAATTAGATTACCCATTGTGTTCAGTAATCATATCACAGCCAGAGGGGAGGATTTTGTGTGGCAGTGTCTGTGTGTATTGTATGGATTGATTGGCTGTTTTGTAACGCCCTGTGGGCTGTACTATGTTTGTGGATTGGGAATAAAAGAGACTGTATGTGACAGTACAGGGAGTTCCTGTTTTAACCCTCAAAGTGAAGTTTTGTCTCATTATTGGGGGAAGGATTTATTGTATGCTGTTCCAGTTTGACTGCTAGGAGAGTAAACCTATTCGTATGGTTCCTATTCAACTGTCTACAGCATTAATATGCTTGAGAGAAGGTATACGCTTCTCTGGTTCGGTGATTGTGGCGTCTGCTGCAGTGCTTGGAGTCCTCAGGAAGCGCTAGGAGCATCTTTCAACGGAGGTACCCAGTCGGGGTGCCAGGCGATCCGTTACACATCTCTTACACACACTCAATGCACACACTTACAGACACACACCTTGCATCCCTTATGCATACAAACACAGATTCAGGCAATGCATCCCTTACACACAACCAGAAACAAACAATACATCCCTTATACAGAAATACACACTGCTTCCACTACACACAAACACACTGCATCACCTGCACAAACTGGTATCCCTATACACTACATCCCATAAGCACACATATTAGATCCTCTACAATAACACATAACACATCCCCTACGCACTCCACTCCCTGTGAGCGAACTCATGGGTGGGTGGAACATATAAGTGGACTTATGAGTGGGTCTTGTGGGCATACTCACAGTCAGGCCCTGGGGCCCAGACCTTGAGCTGTGTAAGGGGCCCCCCAAAAATGGAGCTGCTTCTAATTCTCCTAGAACATTGAATTTTGTGACCACAGTTGCAAACAGCCTCCATAAATCCTGTTCTACACCAGACCAGTGGAGCCAAACTGCAGCCCATCATCATCCTCATCTGGTTGTAAGTAGGCAATCAAGTATATTATAAGTGACACTAATCTATAATTTACCTCGCATTAAAGGGACACTATAGTCCCCAGAATGACTGCAGCTTAATGAAGTGGTTCTGGTGTCTATAGCCGGTCCCTGCAGGCTTTTTAATGTAAACACACACTGTGTGCAGCACTGGCGTTAGTTTGTATGGCAGCTCATATAGTTGGGGCATTGTGATGTCACATGGGGGGCGGCAAATACAGCTGTTCCCCATGCAGCCACAGGTGCTGCTGTGCTGGGAGATTGTGATTACTCTTCACTTCCTCCCAGCCTACAGAGCAGTGCATGGGAGAGAGAGAGGAGGAGGCATGATTTAATCTTACAACAAATCCAGTAAGCAAATCTTTATAAATTTGGGGGGGAATCAGCTCTGTTTCCACAGTTTATTGGTGTTTACTCTGATGTCTGTATTAATATTAAGGAATTTCTAAGTAGTAACATCAGTGTGTGTCAGCAGGGCTAGCCGTTGGGGTATGCACGCTGTGTGGTCATGCAGGGTGCCATGACAACAGAGGTGCCCGGTGGACAACACAGCTCACAAATTGGGGACACCAGCCTATTCAATTTAAACGATTCGTTGGTGGTCCACTGGTGCGCACCAGCAGTAGGTGCAGTCAGATTATAGCCTCTCCCTCGTGGTTCCGGCGCTCAGTTTGTGAGTCAGAGCACAGGCTCAGAGATTCTCAGCCTGCGCTTTAACAACATTGAAAGTCAGAGCTGTGAAGGAGCGGGCATGGCAAAGAGCTACTGATTAGCATAACATCAATATCCATTATAAAACCAGGAAAAGGTGGGCATCATTGCACTGATTTGGTGGTGCAATGGGCCACTTGACTGGTTTTGCCCCCAGGCCTAAGGCTGCCATTGGTGAAAAAATGGGGGCATGTTAAGGCACAATATGCACCTTATGAGATACCCTGGAGTGTCTACTTTTACAAATGTCATTTTACTCAGAAGACTTAGCTGAGCATAATTTGACGGGTTTGAACTTAGTGGCACATGTGAAATATACAAAATTCCCAGCAAAAATGCAATCCATGTGTAAAAAACGCACAAAATTCGTTTTTTACCACATACTTTGGCATATATTGGTGAAAAAATGGAGGCATGTTAAGGCACAATATGCACCTTATGATATACCCTGGAGTGTCTACTTTTACAAATGGTAGGCCTTTGTGGGCTTTTTTGAACAGTCAAACTGTTATAATACCCCAAATGGAAGCATAGGCTCATTAAATCCATCTCTCAAAATTCTACTGTGAATACTGAAAAGAACAGGCCTCCTATGTGGCATTGTAACTTCACGAAATAATGCCAAAGACATTCAATGGGGGTGTCATTTTACTCAGCAGATGTAACTGAACACAAAATAAAACTTTGTACAGGAATAGCACACACCAACTTTACAAAATACACATGAGAATTTCTTTGTTATAAGTTTGTGTGCCAAAAACCAAAAAGAAAACACAATTTTACTCCAATATTTAGCAGAGGTTGTGGTGAAATGGCTACGTAGAAAGTGTCAAAACAACACTAGGTAAATAGCCTGTAATGTCTACTTTATATAAATATACACTTTTGTGTGGCAATTTTGTTTTCTTTTATGGCTATTAAGCTTACAAGACAAACATACCAAATTCTAAAATCGCTCCACATTAAAAGTTTATTTTACTCCTTGTGCTTTGTGACCTGTAACTACCAAAAAAACTTAAAATCCCAGACACATTATATATTCTGTAAATCAGAACAACTAAATTAATGTATTTTTAATTACTTTCCTTAACCTGCACTAATTATGCACACATTATTATTGCAAAAATTGTAAAAAAAACATTTGCATTTGTCTGTATTTTTTATAATAAATAAGCATATATATATATACATATATATATATATATATATATATATATATATATATATATATCTTACATCAAATTAAAGCCCTTTCTGTCCTTTAAAAAACGATATATAATATGTGTCAGTGCAATAAATTTGTAAAATTCAAATTGCAGTTGAACGCAAACAACAAAAAATGCTGTTGTGATTAAGTGAAAGTCAAGCTTCTGAAGCTCTGTCCTTAAGGGTTAAATGGATAAAGTAGATGTCTTGGAACTCTTAAGGGTAAAGAATTAAGCGAATTGTTCAATTTTGGGAAAATATATGCAGAGATTGTATTCAACCTGTCAAGCCAAGATATTTTGAGGCCTTTCTATTTTTGAAAATATTCTTTAAATTATGATAATAATACCATATAATTATCCTTTACTATCTTGTTCATGTCAGTTCTAACATGTATTTCAAGATATTTAATTATTTTGTTGTTCCAATATCTCACTCCCAGTATCTCCTGATCATTTGAGGTTATATTTACTGTTGTTATTTAAGTTTTGTTCATATTAATTTTGTATCCAGAATAATGACCAAATTCATTAAGTACTTCTAGAACTTGTGGAATGGATATTCATGGATTGGACAGAGTGAGAAGGACATAATCTGCATATAGAGGGATTTTGTGATTCTCTCCATTTATGTTTAGGCCATAAATATGATCTTTCTGTCTAATGCTGCCAGAGGTACAATGGATAAAATATACAACAATGGTGCCAATAGGCAGCCTTGCCTGGTTCAATTCTTAATGTTTAACCAGTCAGATGTCATACCAGGGCTAATAAATCTTGCTTGATGGGCTGTATAGAGTGTCATAATGCTTTCTTTAAAAAAAAAAACTGTCAGACCAAAATTCTCCAACACCACATCCAGGAAGCTCCAGTTCATACTGTCGAATGCTTTTTCCACATATAAAGCTATAAAAACAGAAAGATACATCATAAACATTCGAGTAGCTTATCAGATTTATAATTTTCTGGGTGTTATCAACCATATCCCTTTGCAAAATGAATCCAGTTTGGTCCTTATGTATAAATTCAGGGATGATTGATTTAAGTCTTTCTGCAAATATCTTGGAAAATATCTTTATATCTAAGTTAATTAAAGAGATGGGGCAGTAATTCGACAGGCTAACAGGTTATTTTCCTGGTTTGGGAATCAGGAGAATATTGGCTTGTAATAATTCTTGTGGAATGAATCTACTAGAGGTAAATTTATTAAAAGTCTGCTGTAGAATTGTTGAAATTTCATTTTCAAATGTTTTATAAAAAATTGCAGAAAAGCCGTCTGGTCCTGGGGACTTTCTTTTTTTAACCATTTTATTGTATTTTGTACTTTTATAATAGAGATCAGTTTATTCAACTGCTGAAGTTTTAGTGGATTCATTTTTGGAAGTTTAAATTTTTTCAAGTTATTTTTTTTATCATGCTCTTCTGAATTACTTTATTCTTGTTTCTTTTATTGTATAGAGATTGGTAATATGTCTTAAAGGCTTCTCTGATTTGTTTAGGTGAAAGTAAGATTTTATTACCCATTTTTATTTTCTTAAAATGATCATTCCTCCTTTTAAATTTTAATTTATTAGAGATAAGTTTATCAATTCAATTATAATTTGAATACAATATTTAACTTTAATAGAGTTTTGAATAGATGCAATTTTTGTTAGAGGTAATTAAATTTGAAGTGGCTTTATTTATTTTCTCCTGTTCCGACAAGGAAATATAAAGATTAGATAAAGATTTTTAACCCTCAGAAAAATAGGTGCATGGCAGACCATGTAATTGAGCCTATCTCTGAGGAGACAAATCTACCCAGGTTCTGAATATTCATTAAAAAAAGTCAATCCTTGAGTATGAATGATGGACCTTCGAGAAGAAAGTACAATCTTTGTCTCTAGGTTTAAACGTACGCCATATGTCATATAAGAAGTTTATTTGCAAGTAGATCTTGATATAAGTTAGCTGTATATTTCAGATGTGAGTCTCTAGGGGCACCTGACGTAAAGAACTTATCTGGCTTTATATTTGGTACACAGTTAAAGTGCCCTCCTGGAATCAATGTCTCTTTTAGTATTTAATCCATTCTTTTATTACTTTTTTGAGAAATATAATCAGAGTTTGATTGGGATTATAGATGTTTACTAATGTATAAGTAAAATCATTAATCTTGCATATCAGAATGATGTATCTACCATTTTCATCCGTCTCCTCAATGATAAGCTCAGATTTAACTATTTGAGATTATTATTGCCACCCCTCTTTTTTTTTTTTTTAAGTTGGATTGGTAAAAAAAAAAAAAAATCTCCATAATTTTTTAGCTTGCTCAGTCCAGTGAGTTTCTTGGACATAAGCTATATCAATATGCTTTTGACATAAAATATGATATGTGGCCTCTCTTTTGAGGGGTATTTAAGCCCTGAGCATTGATTGAAACTACATTGAGTGTCATGTGACATCCCCCCTCCCCTCTTTCCCTCTCTGTCCGCCCCTTTGAATATATATATATATATATGTTCCATGACCCTTTTAAAAATAATAAAATAGATTTCATATAAAACATCATTTCACAATTCATACAACACTACTAATTCTAGAGTATCAGGAATATCATTCCTGATCTGACCTAATTCAACTTAGGTCACTTTCAGAGGGTGATGGCTAGCTGAGAAAGTTGCTTGTAAAAAACTTTTTCTGCTTCTATATGGATTTAATTATAGTTGATATTCTCTTTTTCCCTTTGTACCTTGGCTTTCATCCTTATTCTACCGATCTCTAATTTCCCTCTTCTTTTTCGTTTCTAGTCAAACTTTCATTCTCTACATATACAGATTTGTATATGTCTAATAAAATTAATGTGATAAATTCTTTTATTATATCTATTATGTTTTTGTTCCTTCATATATACAGGCGAACAGAGACATACATACATACATATATACAGGCGAACAGAGACATACATACATACATACATTCAGAGACATACATACATACATACAGGCACAATTACACACCTACTGTACATACAGGTCCCTGTCCGGCTCTGTGGAGTCCTGTCTTGCAGCTCAGTCTCATCTGTGCCAGCCACACTGTGTGGTACACAGGGAGCAGGGATATGATGTCATTCATATCTCCGCCCCCTCCACACAGCCTACGACAGCCTACGACAGACACCAGTGTAGGAGGCTCCTCCGGCGGCAGTAAGCTGGGCAGGCGGTAAGAGGCTGGGCTGCGCTGAGAGGAGGTGCTTGCACTCGGCCATGCTTCATAGAGTAACCGGCTGGAGGGTAGGACAGAATGCTTTCCTCTCGTCGGATAGCCTGATATTGCGCTCCCAGGGCCGGAGCGCCCTAAGGCGGCCGCCATATGGTACCGCCGGCCCTGGGTGTAGTTGATCTTCCTAACTTTTTTTTTAAATAGGTCAACATTATTAGTTATTACACAATCCAAGCATCTATTCTATTTGGTCCTTCTATTAATAGAGACATGAAAGTCTGTAATTTAACAGGTTTAAAAAACGTTTTTCCTTAATTGTACTACCAGTCCCTCTGGCCCACTGAACGTCTGGATAATAAAAATCTCTAGTGATTAACACATTTTCCAGATGTGAAACCTTGCTCATTTAAGATAGCAGTTGCTCTTTTCCTATCAGTATTAATGTTTGCAGGTTTGTAACCTATTCCTACTATTAAGGAATGTCCCCTGTTTCATCCTATGCAAAGGTCTACCCATAAGGCTTTGACATTCTCAAATGCAACATCACATACCATTTCTTTAACACTTCAATTCATGTTTGATATATCAACACACCCATCCCCCTTTATTTTTCTATTCTTCCTAAATAATATATATCCATTTAAATTAACAGCCCAATCAATTATTTTGTCCTACCGAATCTCAGCAATCCCAATTATGTCTTACTATTCTCTGTATGCTAAAATCTCAAGCTCCTGTATTTTGCTACACATGTTTAAAGTTACAATTTTTGGTTTTCATTTATTTGGAAAACATATAATTGATTCCTTCTTACTCTGTCATCTCCACCTTCCTAGACATCAGCTGGATTTCATCTCCTTTCTCTGAGTTCTTTTGAAAAATATGTAATTTTATTGAACCATACATCAATAGTGTTAATATTGGAGAGATACAAAAGATCCATGCTTAATTTTTCATAAATGTACAACTTAAACATGTACAAGGGTTGTTGACTGTCCAACACTGTGTTTGTTTTATTTTTCATTTTAAGTTGTTAATTATTTCCTTTTGTCATACTCCTCACACAATAAAAACAGGTGAGTGATCAGTGAACCCAGAATGGAATATTATGTGATGGTGTAAACATACTTATGAGTCATTAGGCTATTTATATTGGATTGTAACAATTCTCTGCTGGTATCAGGTTTTCAGACATCCAAGCTACAACTCTAACACTTTTAACAACGACATCACTTTGCTGAAGCTCTCCAGCGTTGCTACTTTCAACAATCGTGTTTCTACTGTATGTGTTGCTGCCAGTAATGATGTTTTTAATAGAGGAGAGAGATGTGTTACAACTGGATGGGGATATATCAATGCTTCATGTAAGAAAACTAATATGATACTCATATTTAGAATTTAACATTTTTAATCTTTTGTTTCAGGAAAATAATAGATTTAAAACTATTTTTAAAACATGTTGGCATATTTCAAGTAAACAATGATATCAGAGGAACAAACTGTTTAATCCAATAAAAACCATAATACATTCTGAAGTATCGCAATATTATTGTCCATTCCACAGATTTTTTATGTTACAGTCTTATGTTTAAATTAATTTTGTTTCCACCACATTTAATAGCTCATAATAACAAATACAAAGCATTGCAAATATATTAAACAGACAAAAAAACTGAAATATCATATTGCCGCAAGTATACAGACTCTTAACTCCGTATTTAGTTGAAGCATCAATTACAGCCTCATGTCTTTTTGGGTATGATGGGACAAGCTTTGCACACCTGGATTTGTGTATTTTCTTCCAATTATCTCAGCAGATCCTCTAAAGCTCTGTCAGGTTGAATGGGGACTGTTGTTGTAGAGGGCCAGGTTTGCATAAGGCCACCATGGCCTTGGGGCAGTAGGCAAGCAAAGTGTGGCACAGCTTTTGATGAGATCAAAGATCCCCCTCACCAACCAGCTGCTTCTCCTGCTGGATCTCAATATTGTATCACAGAGTTACCACAGGTTATTGTTCTGATACAATCCCCCGGTGCTGGCTGGAAGGAGCTGTCTGTACCCACCAGGGTCCAGACAGCAACATCACTTATCCGATCAGGTTCCCCCTTGGCACAGTGTTTTTTTTTATTAAACACTTTATTCAAGCAACTCTTCAACCCCTATCTCTTACACTACAATTCCTGTCCTCCCACTACAGTCAATTTTTACAGTCCCTATCCCTTCCACAACAGCCCCTATCTCTCCTCACGACAACCACTATCCCCACCACAGTCCCTATTTAACCACTACAGCCCCTATCCCCTCCATCAAAGCTACTACCCTCCACCACAGCCATTAACCCCCTACAGCAGCACCTGTTTCCTTACTACTCTGTATTGCTACTCTTCACCCACCACAGCCCTTATCCCCCACACTACATCCACGATCCTCCCACTACAGCTCATGTATTCCCACTATATCACCTATCTGATCATCACGGCCCCTGTCAATCCACCATTGTCCCTATCCCTCACTACAGCTACTATCTCTTCAGCATCTAATGCACTTTTTCGCAAACCATAGTCCTCCTCCTCCTCAACACACATAGCAGCCCATGTCTTTCTAACACACACACAGTCCCTATCAGATCAAAATGCACACTTCTATTCCTTGCACACGTGCTTTACTGACCTGATCCAACATATATATTATCTACTACCTCAAAAGTCCCACACAAACTCTGCAGCCCCATTTTCCTTTACAAAACCTTCAACAACAAACACACAAAAATAGCCCTATCCTCTAAAAAAACACCTCTTCACACACAATACAGCCCCTATCAACTAACAGACCCTATTTACATGCCCACACCCATACTAAACTGCAAACACCCATATCCACACACAATCTACAAGCACGCAAGCAGCATCTACCCCATGAACGCAACCACACAAACACACAAAACCCCAGCATCTCTACACATGGACACAAATACAAATAACCCCACTGTATAGAAATTTGTATATTAACCCCTTAAGTACACATGATGGAAAATGTTCGTCATGATTCCTTTTTTTAAGAAGTTGTGTCTTAAGGGGTTAATATATAAAATCCAGTGCACTCACTCATTCACCAAACATCAATTTCAAGTCTCACAGAATGTAATAGTTTTATTTAAAAACATCTCACCTAGTCAAAAAATAATGGGGGTTTATTAACAGTATTTGATCATACATTGCATAGGTCTGCCACAACATCAATTCATGGCAAGACCTACTCTAGCAGCCTAATGCCTGCTCTTGTGAGATTAATCCACTTACTTGGGAAATTCTTGCTCCTGGGACTCTCTGCAGGTCAAGGTTAAATAGGGCCCTGGAATGGGGCACCTGTGACCAAGGGGCTGGTCTGGACTCCCAAATATATAAGTGACACAAAGAGGGCTGCACTCACCTGAACATGCATACATTTTAGGGTGCTGCTTGGTTTAATTTATACAATGTATAAAATCTAGCGCACTTCAGAAGCAAGCAACACCACAAGAAGCCTACCCTCAAAAATGCAACACAAGTAGCAATCCAACACACACAACCCCACATTGCAGCATCTTGACAAACCTTGCATTAAAGTGTCCAATCACATATGCTAAACCTTTTCCATATATATATATATATATATATATATATATATATATATATACAGTTGCAAGAAAAAGTATGTGAACCCTTTGGAATGATATGGATTTCTGCACAAATTGGTCATAAAATGTGATCTGATCATCATCTAAGTCACAACAATAGACAATCACAGTCTGCTTAAACGAATAACACACAAAGAATGAAATGTTGCCATGTTTTTATTGAACACACCATGTAAACATTCACAGTGCAGGTGGAAAAAGTATGTGAACCCCCTAGACTAATGACATCTCCAAGAGCTAATTGGAGTGAGATGTCAGACAACTGGAGTCCAATCAATGAGATGAGATTGGAGGTGTTGGTTACAGCTGCCCTGCCCTATAAAAAACACACACCAGTTCTGGGTTTGCATTTCACAAGAAGCATTGCCTGATGTGAATGATGCCTCGCACAAAAGAGCTCTCAGAAGACCTACGATTAAGAATTGTTGACTTGCATAAAGCTGGAAAGGGTTATAAAAGTATCTCCAAAAGCCTTGCTGTTCATCAGTCCACGGTAAGACAAATTGTCTATAAATGAAGAAAGTTCAGCACTGCTGCTACTCTCCCTAGGAGTGGCCATCCTGTAAAGATGACTGCAAGAGCACAGCGCAGACTGCTCAATGAGGTGAAGAAGAATCCTAGTGTCAACTAAAGACTTACAAAAGTCACTGGCAAATGCTAACATCCCTGTTAGCGAATCTACAATACGTAAAACTCTAAACAAGAATGGATTTCATGGGAGGATACCACAGAGGAAGCCACTGCTGTCCAAACAAAACATTGCTGCACGTTTACAGTTTGCACAAGAGCACCTGGATGTTCCACAGCAATACTGGCAAAATATTCTGTGGACAGATGAAACCAAAGTTTAGTTGTTTGGAAGAAACACACAACACTATGTGTGGCGAAAAAAAGGCACAGCACACTAACATCAAAACCTCATCCCAGCTGTGAAGAAAGCGATTCACACCAGGCATCCCAAGGATATTGCTGAACTGAAACAGTTCTGTAAAGAGGAATGGTCAAGAATTACTCCTGACCGTTGTGCACGTCTCATCTGCAACTACAGGAAACGTTTGGTTGAAGTTATTGCTGCCAAAGGAGGTTCAACCAGTTATTAAATCCAAGGGTTCACATACTTTTCCACCTGCACTGTGAATGTTTACATGGTGTGTTCAATAAAAACATGGCAACATTTCATTCTTTGTGTGTTATTAGTTTAAGCAGACTGTGATTGTCTATTGTTGTGACTTAGATGATGATCAGATCACATTTTATGACCGATTTGTGCAGAAATCCACATCATTCCAAAGGGTTCACATACTTTTTCTTGCAACTGTATATATATATGTTTGTGTGTGTTTTATATATGGAGTGCATTGAGGAAACTGGCCTTGGGGCAGTAAGGAGGGTAAATCAGGCCCTGTTGGTGGACAGACATTTTCAGGTCTCCCCAGTAACATTTTTGTTCTAGTCCATGTGTTTTTCCATCTGTCCAGTTTGCTTTAAAGGCCAGATCAGCAGAGTGTTGCAGTGTTTGTCATCCTTCTATAAGTTTCTCCCATCTCCAATCATTATCTCTGGAGCATTGCCATTGGGTTCTTGGTAACCTCTCTGACAAAGCCTTTTTTCCTCCGAGTGCTCAATTTTGCCACTCAGCCAGCTTTAGAAAGAGTTATTACTTCTTCTATTCAAGATTTATGGATGCCACTCCACTCTTGGGAGCTTTCAATGTAGATGAAAAAAGTTTGTACCCTTCCCTAGATCTGTCTATCAACAATATCCTGTCTCTAGGCTCACAACAATCTCTTTAGACCTCATCGGTTTTTGCTTTGATATGCATTAACAGTTGTTAGACCTTATAAAGACAAATGTTTCCCTTTCCAAAACTTGTCCAATGTATTGAATTTGCTTAGGTTTAATCCAATCAAAGTGTAGCAACATCTTAAAGATGGTCCATAGAAATGGGTTGCACTGAGCCAAATTTCAAGTGTCATAGCAAAGTGCCTGGATACTTGTGTTAATGTGGTATTTTTTATTTCTTTATTTTTTATTATTTGACATTGATTGATGGGGAAAAAACATTTAATTTAAAGAATGTTAACATGTGTTTCAATCACCCTAACCAGCTGTGATTACTACAAGGAACACATTCAGTATTTTTAGGACTATTTTTCTTTTTTCTAACTAGCACAACTTAGTCCAAGCAAACTGCAACAAGTGTCTCTGCCTCTTCTGAGTAACACTGACTGCCAAAAATACTGGGGGAATAAGATTCTGAGCACCATGATCTGTGCTGGAGCATCTGGAGCCTCCTCCTGTATGGTATGATGGTTTACATTTCACATTTTGTAGAGTATGGGTTTGACAAAATTAAACCTATTTTTGCTAAATATATTTTGGCATATGTTATAATTTTTGTCATTATTTTCAGTAATCGTACGATTAAAGATACATATCATCTCAGTTTAATAATTACTACGTTTGGAGGTCCAGGATGGTCTATTACCTTTTTTTGCTAATAAAATATTGCCACTTTTAAAAGCACATATATTTTTCATTGTTGATTATAAAACTTTAAAGATTTTTTACATCAAATTTCTGAATCTTAACACATAAGAACCCACGGATACGTAAATATTCAAATTATTTATTAATATGTATATTTGAATATTGGGGTATTAGAATATCGTCCAACAATACTGAGTAATATAGGTATTGAGGAATTTACTCTCCAATTCTCCTTTTCTGTCCAATACAACATTTAAACTTATTAGATATTTCATCTTAATTACAGGGTGACTCTGGTGGACCTCTTGTGTGCAAGAGGAATGAAGCTTGGACTTTGGCTGGAATTGTGTCGTGGGGAAATTCAGCATGCTCTACTTCATATCCTGCCGTGTATGCTCGGGTCTCAGCTCTTAGAGCCTGGTTGGACCAAACTGTAGCTGCTAATTAAAAGTAAATTTTTTTTCACTGTTAATAAAGGGAATCTGCTAAAACATGTTTTTAGCTACAGCCCCTAGAACTAAAACAAAATTAGGCCCACTTCTTGGAATACATTTGAATTTCAGATGGAACAAATTAAGCTAATTAACACTCATTTAAAATAAAGGTGCACATCATAACATTTATACAGGTATAATTTACTAGGCTTGAATTTACACTCAAACTACAAATGCAATAAAATAATTGAACTAAAATAAATGGTGTGTGGGTCTCCTCAATTCCTTAATCCAATATGTAGTGAACAGTAATATTACTAAGCAGGTGGCCATGCAGCTAACCTTCAGATCATTTTTACTATCCTGTACTGTGGAATGAGTGGACTGTTTTATGAATGTATCAAGTTTTCTTTTAACTATTCAATAAGATGACTTCCTTTAACACATCCACTTATCCACACTGCAATTCGCAATGCTAGTGCCAACAGTACTTGCATTCTATTAGGATGAAAAAATGTGGCACACTAACTGGAACATGTGGACAGTGTTGTGCCTTCTTTACTATGGGTGAAGGACTATAAGGAAACCTTGTGGTTAATTGATTCTGTGGAATACTGCATTTATTAAATAATACAATGGCTGCATGTGTATTTAGAGTTGAGTCAGATTTTACTTTTATCACTAATGTTGCTGAATGTAATAGGATCAAGTTCTATCAACTCTATCAATATCCAAATTTAATTAAGCATGCACACACTTAGATATCAAAGAGTCAGCTTACAATAGCACTCCAGGTTGGAAGGTGATTTGAATGCTTTGTGTGTAGACCATGCATTAAAATCTACAAAAAAATAAAAATATTCAGAACCATTTTTTTCCATGTATAATTTTTGAGTATATTTCAAAAGCATAAACATAAATATTCATAAGAAACAATACACGTACATAGCCTCAAGTAAAACCATACATCTCTGGTAATTCCCATGTTTATCCATAGTAGCAAAGGTAGGCCATGAGTGAGCAACCAGAGGGAGGTCAGTGAAGTAAAGTAAAGCAGAGGCATCCCGTCATCATGTCTAATGGTAAAGTTCTAAATAAATAAATAAAAGAGAAGCAGTAAAGCGCTTATCTTGGCAGAATTAATTTGGCCTATCCGCCAAATTTCTACTTTCCTCTAGTTGTCATAGAGTGTTTTAAGCTTTGTCAAGAGTTTGGAATGATTTTCAGTAGGGATTGGTGGGGTGTGGTTAATTTTATGCCCAAGTAGGAGAGAGTGGTTTTCCCCCAATAAAAGGAGAATGTGGTCTGCAGGGCATTCTTAATTTATTTAGATAGGCCTATTGGCAATGCCTATTGAAAATGCTTGGGTTTTAAATGCAGTATTCCAGTAGTTGGAGACCCACCCTTAAGAGTCAACTAAGGATTGTAAGTGCATAGGAGCCTCAACAGGGTTTGTGACATAGACCAGTATGTCATCCACAAAAAGGGAATTTTAGAGATACCTTGATTACTTGTTCATTGTTAAGGAGGCCCTCCACAATAATTAGTAAATCCTCAGGATCGACATTCAGTCATGTTGTAGTAAAATGGAAACTACCTTTGCCTCTGATGGCGAAAAGACATCGTACGCTGTGGGGTAATAAGAGGAATAAGATTTAGGCAGTTTCTTTGGCAAAAATGAATTTCTTTTATACAGATTGCAAAAACATTCAGGTATTTGACTTTTGCAAGAACCATTCTCCTTTTATTGGGCCTATTCAACCCTTTGGCATTGATAGAGTAGAATATAAAGGAAGGATCCATACAATCTGGTGATTAGGGCTGTACTCTTGCTCATGGGACTGTGCCTTTGGACTGAGCAGTGAAGAGATTGTATGGTTGTTGAGGTGCAGGCTTTCTCTTGGAAGTACTCTGGGGTAAATGAGAGGGCAAAGGGCAGGTGTGTTGGGGGGCATGTGGGAAAAAGCATTGCTGTACCATATTACAGATAAACAGCATACAACATATTAAGAACTATAATAGATCAAAGCACAATGCTTTCGGGGGGAGCTGTAACTGTATACACCAACAATTGAGACACATAATGTTGTTCTTTATTTGGAGCAGAACAAATTATAGAATCATATAATGGTAGGCCATGATAAACTCTTATCCTGGCCAGACTATTTGCAATTAGCAGTGACAACAGGCAAAATAAGCACTGCTATGCTAGTGTGTCGTATGGGAGCGTTTGACTGTCCAGTAGGAAAGTCTTGGCCTTGACGTTCTAAGGTGGTGCTAACGTGGTTTTTTTTGTTTTGTTTTTAATATTATTAAACTTTTTATATTTGTTTTGTTTTTAACTGAGTTGCTAGGAGTGCTTGGATCAAGCACACTAAAACTAAGAACACAATCAATGCTACAGGTTACAGGTAGACCGACCATAAAACATACTATATGAAACCTTAAAGAGAATAGGAAAAGCTAAGTTTTAAACAAAACTGAAATTGTATCAACCAAAGACATGAGTCTCACCAGGTAAAAGCACCAGAGTTCACAAATTGAAACTTGGGGGTTCATCTTCCCCTATCTCCACAGCATAGAGGGTCGGCATTCTTTAATTTGAGTCAAACTTTGGTGAGGGGAGAGCAAGCATGTAGGGGGCTGAGGTATTTTGGCTACCAATTTCCATGACTGAAGTAGACGACACCAAGAGTAAGTCATTCCATACAATTTTGTTGGGTTGCCCCATGTGTTGGGTTGCCCCATATGTTGGGTTGCTGACTGCATAGTATTTTGTTTACCATATCAATTATTTTCTGCTAGCCATTGTGGCCAATGATAAGTCCACAAAGAAAGCCAGGCTAAAGGGAGTTTTGAAAGTTCTCTCATGGTTTACATAAGAGTGTCTTTAGCTTTGAAATGCAGGTGTTATGCATTTTAAAAAGAAAGTTTTAGTATTGAACACAACTGCAGATTATATGAATTTGAATACTGTACCTTTAAGGGAATCTACACATTAAATGAGGGGGAAAAAATCAGAATGCCTTTGGCATAAGCAAGAAGTTAATTTTTTTTTAACAGGAATTCCAATCTCCCTTCAATTGGTATGATACAAAAAGTAGAATAGCTTTCCAGTAGCAGTAGGTTAGTAATTTGCAAGGCGTGGAATTATAGGCAGGTAAAGTAATGAAAAAAATAGCAATTCTTGGTAATAAGTTTCTGTAGCAAGTAGTAGCAACAATGTTATTGTAGCATCTAAAGTAGAAGATTTTAGCAATAGACTTAATGCAGCCTAGGATAAGCAGAGCACAGAATTATTAAGCCAAGGAGGGTCCTGTAATTTTTGGAAAAAGTTTGTTTAACAATCCAGGTTTTAAGGGCAGGAGAATTCAGCAATGTCTAAAGGCAAATTCAGGTTGAGGCTTATAGAGATCAGATGATAGGTAATCAATTCCGGGTCGAGGGTTGGAGAAGTCTGCAAGGTCAGTTAGGCAATTCGGTTCAGTTCACAAAGGATACAATAAGGAGCTTAGCAGGAGAAATTTCCTCTTGACGAGCAAAATTGACTAAGCATTTTACTTTTGGCGCGGCTTCCCTATAAGGTGGGGAAAGCTTGCAACATACTGGAGGGAGGAGTTCCGAACGGCGAAAGCCAGAAGTAGCTCCGAAAGAGATCGAGGTTCGGTAAGTCTGACAGCAGGCATACTTTTGTGTCCCTCAGGAAGTCTGGGGTTTAAGTTTGCAGTGACTGTCAATGAGCCAGTTGGTATCCAGTGAGGTGGGCAGAGAGCTTTAATTAATGATAGTAGGTAGAATGGAAGCTCCATATTGGAAACTTATTCTGGAATGCCTCAACTTGGAATATGATTTCTACATGACAGGTCCTCCGCATCAACCACTTTCTCCATTAGGTATTTGTTGTGTGTATATAGTGTGATAATTTTTTGGACAACTTCATTTTGGACCTCACAAAACTCATCTAGCTTGAAAAATTATAGGTAGATTTCTAGTGCTTATTGTGTAGTGTAGAAGGCCTTTTGAACAACCCAAACCAGATTCTCACTTATTTGATCCTAAATGATTGCTTTGGAAGGGGAAAGGAGCAGCTTTTTGGTAAAGTCCTGAGAAGTTCACATGAAATGAGAGACAGAGAGGACAAAAAAAAGAAAATGGAAATATTGTGTAGCAAGTTGGTAACTGGTTATAGAGGAGAAAGAGAAAATTGCAGTTATACTGAATAAAGCTATGCAATAGCTCCAACTGATGTGCCTGGATGGTATAATTCCTATCTATAGATATAAGCTTGTTATCTTGGCCTAAAGGGTGTTATATATAGAGAAAAAGCTAACTGTGAAACTAATATAGTGTAGTATCCTATAGACTGTAAGCTTATTTGAGCAGGGTCCTCTTCAACTTATCGTTCCTGTAATTTTTCTTGTAATTCTCCTATTTATAGTTAAATCCCCCCTTTCATAATATTGTAAAGCACTACGGAATCTGTCAAAGCTATATAAATGGCAATAATAGTAATAATAATAATAATAATATTATCAGGTATTTAAGCAGTGGATTAAATGTATACAAAGTGCTCACTCACATTTGATTGAGCTTTCTGATGACTTTAGTTGCAAAGCTTGTTGTGGAATGATCCCCATTCTTGGATTTATTATAGAACACTGTGATGTATATATATAAAAAAAAAATAATGTAGTGCAACCCTGTATAATAAAATACATTAATAGTGCTCCTTGACTTCAAGCAAAAAGTGGTTTTGCTCAATCCAGGGCCAAATCATATATTCTCCACCAAGAAAAATGATGTCCAAATGTCAGGATGATAACAGTAAGATCCAAAGGAAGTAAAATGACATTAACTTATAATGGGAAATAGTAATACAAATATTAAAAATGAAGTAGAATAACACACTGTGTTACACAAGTGTTTCGCCCAGCAAACAGGCTTTTTTATAGTGTTACAGGCACTTTTATTGTGTATATAATTATAGCTTAGTAAAAAAAAAAGTTTCTGAAGAATGATTACATTAACAAAACAAAGCATATCTGGCCCTGACTTATCCTAGGTCTGTCACTCACCTTGATGTAAAAGCTTTCACTACCCTAACTCTACCATTATCTTAGTGAGAAAAAAAAACACCTCTCTACTCCTCTCCTTATCAAAACCCCATCCTTAATCTATCTGACCCTATCTGTGTCCCTATTTTTC